AACTTAAGTGCCTTCCATTACAAGATGCAATATTACTACAGCAGGATATCCAGAAACTAATAACCAATGTTCGCCTACGTTGTGTGCAAACGCAGAGTTCATCTGACAATGAAACACAGGCCACTTCTAGCTCAGTAAGGGATCTACAACAAGATACAGAGCCGTCAAATTCTTCAGGAAATGAACAATATCATAGTCTGCATGAGGTGCAGAAATCAGAGCCACGCCTCATGAATTTTTTCAATAATTGGACTGGAGATGATGAAGATAGTTACGATTTTTATTTAGAATAGATACCTACCTATCTTATGCTTAAAACTTTTATGAAATATACTGTTTCTTTTGTATTTTTTTTTTTGTTTTATAAAAGACATATTATAGGTAATTAGGGTTGTGAATAACTATAATAATAAAAATAAATTAGGTAATTAGTATGTGTTAATTAATGATTACGAACGTACCATAACATAATCTTTCAGCACTTCGTATATGGCATCAAAGACGTCTGGTAGAAACTGGCTTATGGTACATTTTGGAACTCGGTAAAGGTACTGCAAAGATCCCAGTGAGTCGCCAGTAGCAAGATATCGACAAGCTATTTGAAGTTTTAGCTTTGCTGATAAAGGTTCTCGCATAACAGTATTATTCTTTTGTATCTTGCTGTTAACCTTTAAAAAACATAGGTACTTAGTTAAACGGCTTTTATATCACTTCAAAATTTGCTTACCTTATTCAGTAACGTATTAAACATTTCCTCATTCAGGCGTAAGAAGTTTAAAAAACTTCTTGGGTCTTCTACAGCAAGTTCCTTGAGAAGTATTTCTGAAGCACCAAGTGTCCTCCTTCTTGCAATCCATTTTCTCACCCATATCTTCTTGGTTTTTTTATTTCTTTTTCGTTTAATTTTAACTATTTCACCAATTACAGCAGCTACCGCGTCAGTTAACTGCGTATCGGCCATTTTGCTATTGATTACTGTCACGATAGTTTTTGGTAGGTGTAGGCACCTCACTTTCACGATAGGACTATCGAGGTGACTATCATGAGAGCGCTGTCATGAGAGTACTCTCACCGTGAAAACGAGCCTTAACGCTCGTACCTGTTATAGTTATTCACCTAACAAATGAGGAAAGTGATACTTTACCGTACGCAACAGCAGTTGACCGAACGACGCGAAGCGGAGTTCGGTCAAGCCGTTAAGGGCTTTACCGCACGCGACAGCAGTTGTCATGGCGTCAAGAGCGGTAAAGGCACTTTCGGCATGTGTTGGTACAAAATTTCACCTTCGAGTGTCAATATTTTTGTATTTCAAGTACTTTACCGCACGTGTGCTGTAAAGTGCTACCTTCCACACACTCATAGATGAAAAAAATTCACGCCAGTATTTTGGTAAACAAATTGCTTGAAAACGAGTTTTTTAGATTTTGTGTCAGGAAAAATTAGAAGCACGAGTGGTTTTTGTTAAGAATGTTTCCTTACTGAGCAAAACAATAAATTTTTATTAATTTATTAACATTTATGAGTATTTTATTTTGTTTTCATGTCATGTCATGAAATTTTTCCACTTGAAAATAATTTTTGACCACAAAATGAAGTTTTTTGATTGGTTTAAAATGACAGGAGGGAGATATTCGATTAAAATAGTTACTTGCAAATAACTTGAAAACGGATGCACATATCGGATTGCGGTTTGCGCCAAAATGTAGATAATTTTTTGCTCTTTAAGCAGTTATAAAAAAATATATCATGCCATTTGGATTTTTCCAGAAAATTAGAAAAAACTGGATCTTGGTTAAACAGCGCCCTCTAGAAGACGCGGTGGGAACTATCGACCCCGAAGTGGTGCTCTTAATAACAATGAAATTCTCTTTCGAATAAGCCCAAATTGAATCAGTTTGGATAAGGGGTATGGAAGATAAAGCAATTTTTAAAACTATTTTTTCACCAGCTTCCCCCACCCTTATTAGTGAAGATACGAAAAAAAGCTAATAAGCAAACTGGCGCAAAAATTAACGAACTTTTGATTTCTGTTGTTAAAACAGTACCTTAATATATCGATTTTTCGAGAAAATTTGAATTTTTAGTTATATCATCGTGATTGCGCCCCCTAGCGGCCATCTTAGAATCTTGAAAATATTTTCCATTAATTTCTCTTGGCCGATTTAGTGAAAAAAAAAAAATCCCGATGCCGTAAGGCCTATGGTTTCCATAATAACGTACCTCGTCGACCTTAGTGGGACACCCTGTATAAACTAAGCGGCAGATGAAGTGGGACACCCGAAAAATTGCCTAATTTTGACTTGTTATAACTTCGACATTTCTTTGCCGTACTTGGATTATCAGGCAGGGTTACAAAGCGCCATCTTTGGTCTATGCGTCAGTGTCGTCGTACATTTTTTAAAAAATTCCTTCTCGTTATACAGGGTGTGAATATAAAGCGGCGAAAAATTTCCATTTTTTGGCGAAGAATATGGGAAAGATGAAGAGTCCAATAAAGTTTTTTCTAGTGGTGACTCGATCACTAGGTCAACACCTCGAGACGTCTTTGCCATTTTTTCGATGCATTGCGTTGCTATGGAAATATGGCCATTTTATGGTATTTAGTTTTACTCTTGAAATTGGCGATTCTTTAATTGAACAATAACAGATTCCGTTTAAATTGCATCATGGAATGACTTGTATAGAAAATAGTCAACACCAGTGGCGTGCAAAAGGGCGTTTATGAAATTAAAATTTAAAAAAATCGATTTTATTTGAAATTTTTAAGTTTTGTTGAGCTGTAAAATTTAACGCCCAAATGCACCATAAGGATTAAGGACTCAATTCAGATTAGTTGCTGAAACCAGGTTAGGACTTCTCTTTTATATGCAAATTTTCGAACTAAGCGAGAATAAACTCCCAAGTCCATACGGTGCATGGGTGTAAAAGGTGTTATCTCGGGTGTTATAAATAACTCTGATATGATGTCATTTTGGTTCTCCTCTAGCCTGAATAACTGCGTGACACCGCCTTGGCAAGCTCGAAATTATTCGGTTAATTAACTCTATAGTAACTGACTCCCAGAGCTCCAGACAGAATCATCTCCTCGAGATCGTCTAGAGCTTCTGGCTGACGTTCTCCCCAAGAAAGCCTAACTTCATTCAGCTCTAGACGTGCTCAATTGGATTCATGTCTGAGGATCTAGTAGGCAATTCGGTACGATTGAACTTTTGCCCTTGCAGATACCGGTTCACTAATAATACTCGATGAGGTTGAGCAATATCGTCTACAAGAACAAAATCCCCGCCATAATTTCGAGCATGCCAGAGAACTTGCGGAATCTGACATGTATCCAGGGACACTTGGCCGTTGACATTTCCCCGAAATACCACGATACGACGAGTTCTGTTCTTCCGATGTGTTAGATACCGACCCAAACTGTCAATCCTCCACCGCCAAATGCAACTTGGGGACGCATGTTTTCTTCTAAAAAACGTTCTCCCCATATCCGCCAGGTTAGCAATCGACCGTCAGAATTGTAGAAGTTAAAACGGCATACATCAACGAAAAGACAGTCTCTCCACCTGAAATCCCAATTCAGGTGTTCCTGGGCCCATTTTTCTTAGTTCCCCCGGTGACTGTTTGTAAAAAGTGGGCACTTTGCCCGACGGGAGAATCCCTGGTCATATAGGCGTCTTCTAATGGTGTCTGCTGAAACATTCAACTGCAGATGCGTTAGGATTCTCTTGACAGTCCAAACTCTATGTTCTTGCATGACTTCCCTGAGAATTTGTCACGCGCGCACGGAAAAATCCTTTTTTCTGGACTGGTAATGAAATATACTATAGCACTAACCTTCCTAGTCAAATCAACATTGTCGAGATCAAAGCAAAGTCAAAATTTGGAAAATATGAAAAATTTCGATTTTTTTTCAAAGGGGATTCTTATGTCAAAATCTTAAAGCTTTAGTATCTTGAAATCCGTGAGAGATATTGAGTCAAAATTTTCAGGAATTGTAGCCTCTATTAAGCTCTAAATTAAGTTTGAAATTTTTGACTAAATTTCGACTGAAATTCAACTTTGAGGCTCATTTGCTGAAAAACTATAGGAGCTATCAAACTCAATTAAGCACAGATTTAGAAAAAATTTAATGCTCTTTCTCATAGAGTATAATTTATTTTAATTTGTGAAAGTACGCTGAAGAATACTTCTATTTTGGATGTTAATAAAAAAAAAAAACACTGTTCCTCCAAGATTAGCTTCTAAATAATATTATGTTTCTTGGTCTTTTAAGGAGTTGTTGGGTGCTTTTTCATATTGCAAAATTGTTTAACAGCCTCTCATCTTCATTTGTCTCAAATATTTTTAGCCAAAGTAGACTTGTATGAATAAAATAGATGGAGCCTCATGACCTCAGCTTACCAAACTAACCGTACGTATAACAAATCAGAATTTTTTAGCCTTATAGTTAGTTACACATAATTTCTCCCCCTATTTCGTAAAACATTTATTAATAAAATCTTGTTTGTGCGCTAAAATCCATGACTAACCTCCTATAGGCATCGAAAAATGCTACTAGAAGCCCCCACTGTGAGCAAATTGGCAACCTGCGATAGTCCTCCCGACGACGAAAGCCGTGGAGAAGAGGAGAATAGTTTTTTGGAGGAGACAACTCAGCGCAGATCCAGTATCGCCGTTACGCTGTTAGTGTGTTTATCTGTCTTTAAGTTAAGACACATTCAAGACAGTTTGATAATATTGATGTCTATACTTTGTCTAACAACCCTATGGAGTAAACATCACTCCGTAGGCTGGTTGGACAAAATTTAAATCAAACTTATCTGAATGCGCCTTCCAGCTTATTGTTTCGTTCTTTGATTTGTTTTTTTTTTTGCACAAACATTTTATTTTGCTTTTACTGACGCTTCTCATTTTCAACAATAGAAGCCATCTAGCTGTTGCTATATTAACTTATAATTAAAATTTTGATAATAATAATATTGACTAATTATTTGGTTCAGAAATCCAAGTTCTGGCAGTCTGCAAACGACCAATAGCGACACTGGGTCCCTAGATAGAGCAAAAGCCGCCTACGAACGTCGAAAAAAGTTGCCGAACAGTACCGAAGAGACTTCAGGCGTTTCGGGGCGTGTAGAAATTACCAGGATAAATCCTGAGGATTTTATAGCTGATTTATTAAAAGATACCAATTTGGAACAGCATGATGATTCGGCTGAAAGTAAGCAAGCGCCACATTTATGAGTGGGTTAATTTGAAATTTCCTGTTTTGTTTTTTTTTAGCTTCAGGATTACAGTTGTTTATAGCTAAAGATGGCACTGCGTCTCTAGGAAATCACGAAGTAAAATCTCAAATGTCCACCGGTATAAATAGTTTCAAACAAGTGGTTATGGATAATAGGTAGTCTTAAATTTTTTATAATTGGCCCAGCCAGGCAATTTATGTGATATAGGTTTTATGTCTTGCTAGTTCTTTGGAATGTTAACATGGCTACAAATTTTTGTATACTAAAACCTACTACTGTGTGTTATTTTTAGGCAAGAAATGGTTTACTAGGTAACAAGCCTGTTACTTTTAAAATATAAAGTATATTGTTGCCAATTATTGTGATATAAACATCTTTATGTATAAAATAAATAGTGCAGCCGATTGGGTTCTGCTGGTTGATATACATACATAGTAATTCTATGTATTCATATCTAGGCCCAAAATATCACCTGTTCAACTAAGACAATATTTATTTATTTGTAGCTCTAAGTTAGGAGGGGTATTTCCAATATTATTTATTCAGCCTAAAATGTAAAATATTAATTTAAGGATGGAGAATATTGATAAATAAGACAATTTTTATTTGTAATTTTTTTTTTTTTTTAAATTCTCAAAATGTCCAACTCTTCGGGAGTGAGGTGAAGACGTAGCTGTTTCTCTATGATTAAGTCTTGAATTTGAGCCAACTCTGCCGGAATGTAAATGGCTGCATCCATATAAAGAGCCTAAAATATATTTTTTTTTTAACCTTGCCTTGGTACCTACCTATACAAATTACTTACTTTCAGCCAAGGACATTGCTCTACAGCACTATAATAAACATTCCTGCAAACATTAGTATCAAAATACTGATGTACGAATTGCAAAAACAGCCTCCAAACTAATCCGCACCTCCTAGTGCACATCTCCTTATTAGTAATTTTTTTAAAAAGCGAATTTGTTTTATTCTTAAAATTACTATCCATCTCTAATTTGAGTCCAGTTGAAGAATCGACCGCATGAGCCTCAATTTCCAATTGAACCAAATCGTTTATAATAATAACGAAAATTGTCGCAATAGATCTGCCAGTTTTCAATAGTAAATCTTGCACTTTCCACGCTGACATGCCAAAGTTTTTCTTTAAACTTTGCTCTTTGGCTAGTATTGACAGTAAGTATAAATTATTTGGGTATTTTTCAATGGCCTTAAAAAGTACTTCATCTAAGATTTTGAAATTGTGAGTTCCAGGTTCCATGCAAGATTTGAACAAGACAGAGCAATGGAACTCGTATAGAATTTCTTTTTGGAAATTTAAGCTTTGTTGCCTATTTTCTAGGTTTAGTAAAGTGTCTTCTATGAATTTACCGCATTGTAATGGACCTTTGGTCCAATAAAGGAACCATCCATGACAAATGATCCAATCAGTGAAAAAATCAGCCAAAAAATGATCTCTAGAGCTCAAATCGCTTATATCTCTTTGTAGCAACTTCTCGGTAATATTTTTAAATTTAGTTTCAGCTTCCATCAATAAACCATTTGTTAGAGAATCAAATTTCCTTTGCAAAACCAGCTTTAATAATTCATTCAATACATTTTCTTTGGTTTTTGTTGAATTAGTAGAATCCATAAGTACTTCAATGAGGTTCTTATACAAATTACACTGGTTTGTTTGCGATTCAGACGAATTTTCTGTTACAATTGATTTGTTTTGGTTCATATTAAGGGCAGTTTTTAAAATATTAATGCTTTTCTCACAGTTACCCAAAGCCTTTTCGATTAAGGCATATTCCATATAAAACATTTCATTATTCCTAAATTGTTCACGTTTTAGAAGGTCTTTAATGGATGATTTAATTTGTTTTTTGAAGTTACTTGGTAATTTGAATCTTTTTTGAATATCTGAAAAAGAATTATTAATGATAATTGGAGTTATAATTACCTACTGAAAATGTTTACCTAATATTATTAATAATCTCAGAAATCTGAACCACCATATACGAACAGCAATTTGATCTTTACCCTCTAGACATTCAGCGCAACCTTCCATAACTGACAACACAAAATTCAAATATTCTTCTTGACCGGGCAGCACTTTCAAGTATTGTGGCCCAACAGCCAATCTATAAGGGTTTTAAATTATTATCTAATTATACAGGGTAGTCCAACAAGCGCGCCTCAGTCAATAGTAGCCAAACCGTTGAACTTATGGAAAAATGTTCTGTATAAAAGTTTTAGCATTTCATCTCTGCTATACCCCAAAATTATTTTCAAGTATACAGGGTGTCTCAAAATAGAGTAATCAAAAATTCTGTTTTTTTTTTAAATGGAATACCGTATGTTTTCATGTGGCAAATGAAGCCTCTATATTATGCTCTGTATTCAACTTTAAAATCGTATATGGGTTGAATGCAGCATTGCCAAGTTATGATTTTTTTATAGATCAAAACATACTTTTTTTAAATTGTCATATCTTCGCCACTGTACATTAATTTCCCTTGAAAATTTTCATGTAGATAATCTAATGTTAACCTAGTTGCTCCTACATTATCTTTATTTTTCGATTTAAGTGTATAGGGTGGCCCAAATTAGAGCCTCATCATTGGGATCTCGGTAACCGTAAGAGATACGGGGTCGGTTAAATTATGGCAAAGTTGCACAATTTTATGACCAATAATAGAATGCCGTTCTGAAACTAGAAAGATTCCGAATACTTCCGGAGATATTCGGAAAAAACCGAAATTTTGTAAAATCGTTTTTATTTTTTCCTGGGCTTATTTGAAGAGCAATTTTAAAATAAATGTCACTTCATCATAGTCACTTTTTCCCCTTTAGAAGATGGTGATACTAAATTTAAAATTCGACGTTTCGTCTTCAGGCGGCCATCCTCAACTTCCTTTTTTTAAATACGGACCTGGATTTTTTATTTGCGATTTTGTCATCTTTGGGCATCCTAAAACTGTTACTGTTTATAATTTTCCAAAAACAAAGTAAAAAAGCAGGTCGTATTTAAAAAAAATGATGATTCCAGAGGAACGAAACGTTGGATTTTAAGTTTAATACCCTATCTTGTAGAGAAGAAAAAGTGACAATGGGAATGTAAAATTAGTTTTTCACAATCTTTAAAATTAAAACTATACGAAAAAAACATGAATTTCTCGTTTTTCTTAAATTTTTTCCTGATTCCATTTAAAAAGATAACGTTTTGTTCCTCTGGAATCATCATCAATTTTTTTTTTTTAAATACGGTCCTGTTTTTTTTACCTTGTTATTGAAAAGTTATAAACAGTGTCGGTTTTAGGATGCCCAAAGATGACAAAATAGCAAATAAAAAATCCAGGTCTGTATTTAAAAAAAGGAAGTTGAGGATAGCCGCCTGAAGACGAAACGTCGAATTTTAAATTTAGTAGCACCATCTTCTAAAGGGGAAAAAGTGACAATGATGAAGTGACATTTATTTTGAAATTGCTTGTCAAATAAGCCCAGAAAAAAATAAAAACGATTTTACAAAATTTCGTTTTTTTTCGAATATCTCCGGAAGTATTCGGAATTTTTTTTGTTTCAAAGCGGAATTCTATTGGTCATAAAATTGCGCAACTTTGCCATAATTTAACCGAGCCCGTATCTCTTACGGTTACCGAGATCTCAATGATGAGGCTCGAATTTGGACCACCCTGAATAGTGGCGGAGATATGACAATTTTAAAAAAGTAAGTTTTTGGTCTATTTTTTTCTTCAAAAAATCATCACTTGGCAACGCTGCATTCAACCCAAATACGATTTTAAAGTTGAATACAGAACACATAGAGGCTTCATTTGCCACATAAAAACATACGGTATTCCATTTAAAGAAAACATAAAATTTGTGATAACTCTTTTTTGAGACACCCTATATACTTGAAAATAATTTTGGATTATAGCAAAGATGAAATGCTAAAACTTTTATACAGAACATTTTTCCATAAGTTCAACGGTTTGGCTACTATTGACCAAGGCGCGCTTGTTAGATTACCCTGTAGATTTAGTTTTTACCTATCAGTATCCTTCAAAAGATTCTTATTCAAAGTATCCACCGGATACAAAGGCACAAAAACTGGCAACAACATTTCAATAGAATCCAAGCTCCACGGAACATAATCCAAACCCAAATCCTGCATTGTAGCATGCCTTGAAGGTAATAAGGGTATTTTCAATAAAGTCAAACAAGTGGCAACAAGCCTAAAGATATTTTCCTTTATAGTAATTGGTTGAATTAATTCAGCTACATCCGCATTAAAAACCAAACGTTGCGGATCTTCACATTCTCCCCCTGTAAGTGGCAACCAATGACAAGATTCTCTTAGTTTTTCAGTTCTAAGCCACAATTCGTGATGAGGCAATTTTGATTTAAGAACAACATCTTCTAATTCCAGCAATTCATTTTCCTTAAAATATTTTTCAACATTAAACTCCCCCTTAGTAGAATTTAAGTTTAATTCCAGATATAATTTTAGGACAGTCCATAATTGTTCGAAAAGGCCTGCTTGTTTCAAAAACAAGCCACACTGATAGAGGATTTTTAAAATGCTCTCCTCAAAAGCAGATTTTTCTGATAAAGTACTTCTTCTTAGTTGGTGAAGAGACGATAGGCATTTAATATACAAATTTAATACAGCTGGAGAGTTGCAATGGGACATTGAGCATTGTGTAGCTTCAATATAGCCTTGCCAAAGGATTATGTTGTCTTTTTCCTTTTCCAGTAGCTTTTTTAATTGAGTTTGGAGTTCATCTGCAGGAAAAGCAGTAACGGCAACATCTAAGCGTTTCCTTAATAATTCTTCACAGCCAGGATTGTGGATGAGGGCTTTGTCTAGAATAGAAATTTTTCTTTCTGCTAGAACTCTTTGGGCTTTAGCTATGCTGCCTTTTTTGTAAGATTTTTCAAATTCATATACAGTATTTTGGAAATCGACGTATTTGAGCCACATTTGGATGTCTTTGGGGTTGTCGGTTAGGTTTTTATTGTAATGGGCTGTTGTTTTTGATAGGTTTTCTTCTTCGGTGGAGCCTGGGAAATTCTCATCTTTTGCTGATTTGTTTGCACTAGCATCTAATTTATTCAATATTTCTCTGGTAAGTTTTTTACATTCATCATCTTCAGATTTATCTTGAGAGTTTACGGTTTGAAAGTATCTAAATAAATGATTTTTTTTAAAATTTAGAATCATTGTATAAAATATGAAAGTGCTGAACAGACATTGCATTTTTCAAGTATCAATTTGCAATTTGGAGAGAAGTGAAAGGAAGATTGGAAGCATCAAGTTGTTTGGGTGAAAACTTTAAGAAATACAGCCTGAAATAGTTTGATGAGGAAGGGAATTTTCCAAAAATTTATACACAAGGATGTAAATGAATTTTTTACTGATGAACTGTTTCAAGTATCAATGTGCAATTTGGAGAGGAGTGGAAGGAAGTTTTGAAGCATGTCATACTAAATTTACAAGTTGATTGAGTGAAAACTTTGAAAAATATAGTCTGAAATAGTTTGATGAAGAAGGGAATTTTTCAAAAATTTATACACAAGGATGTAAATGATATTTTTAAGTATAGTATTTCCAAAGTCAATTGAAACAAGGTAATAATAAATTGCAACTGGTGACTAAGTGGCAATGCATTCCTTATGAAAATATTCAGTCACCAGTTGTGATTCACTTTTATCTTGTTTCAACTGACTCTGGAAAGACTATACTCATGAATTGTTTAAAGTTTGGGTATAATTGTTACTTTAAAGTGACAATTAGGTATAATTGTAACTTAGAACTGAGAAGTAGATAAAATTATTATCACAATTATACATAATTGTCAGCTTCATGTGATGACAACTATGGCTAATTGTCAGTTCTAAGTAACAATTTATGCCGAATTGTCAATTCTAAAGTAACAATTATACTTAACTGTCAGTTCCAAAGTAACAATTATACCTAAGTGTCGGTTCCAACAAAGGTTCATAAAGCTAATAGATCGTCTGGTAATGGGTAACTTGATGACGCATCTGGGGTGCCTTATAGAAATTTGCATTGCAGATGACGTCATAAAGTTATTAGACAACTACCTCTCTCAAACAACCTTGGGTTCCAACTGACCATTATTATGAGATGTCTGGTCAGTAAATCCCAACTTACCTTTTTGTTTTCTGTTTCTTTTGCTTGAAACTCTTATCCAAATAATATTTATTGTATTTTGCTACTGACGGTCTTGAAATTGTAGCAACATTTAAAAACTCTTTTGTTGGTTTTAAATCAATTTTGAAGAATTCTTCTGTGACTTGATCGATATCAATTTCCATTTTATCATCTTCTTTAGGGTGTCTCCTCTTTCTTTTCTCGAAGGCTTCAATATCACTATCAGATGATTTCTCTATATCATTACTACTATCAGATTGTATCTCTAAAGACTTTCTACGCCTCTTTTTGCGTTTCGATTTCTTCTTTTTGGCTTTGGGGGCCTCAGTTTGGGTCCCATTGTTGTTCAATAATGCAATATCAGGCTTGAAACTTGAATTTTCTAGCCAGTCTTGCTTTGTTGAGGTTGAGGCCTCCTCTTGTTGAGCATATGCTGGGAATAGAGACATATTAAGACCTAAATTAATTGTGAAGAACTTAAAAGAATCATAATATTTGAATAAGTAAATAAAAACAAATAACATAACCTCAAAAAAAAAATTAAACAAATTTGACATTCCACAGTTACTATAGCTGAACTAGACCAGAAAAAATGTAGTTTTATCTCTCTCTTATACAAGCTGGTAGAAAAAGACACGAATACACTCGGTGCGCATTTTAATTTAAGCAACGTAATTTAAATTTGACAACACCGTCTAAAGCCTAGTACTCATAACTGCCAAATTCGCTGTTTTTTGACATTGCGTTGACGATTTGACGTTTTATGCGTGTATCAAACGTCAAATTGTCGAAGCAATGACAAAAAAATGCGTATTTCGCAATTATGAGTACTAGGCTTAAGCTTTTCAAATTTTGGGCCTGCGAGTGACGTCAGTATCAGCCAGATAATAAAGATGACGTCACCCGCAGACCTCGATGGAATGCTTGCGATTCAGGCTGTGCTGGTCAGTTAATTTGTTCATCGATATTAAATGTAGAAAAGGTGATTTTCGGTATGTTCTCATAGAATAAATTAAGTGTTCTTGATTTTCGAGTATACCAGAATTTGATGGTAGGGGAGTATGACACAATTGACACATAATCCAGCAAAATATTATGTGATATTATGCTTGGTTGTCCTCGCGAAAAATTGCTTATTCTATTAGGTTGTATTCTTTTCGAAAGTTTTAAGCACTAGAGCTATTCGCTCCGGTGTTAATCAACCCCGATTTGAAAGGAACAGATGCGCTGGCTTTCGTGCATTAATGGTTTGAGTTTGGACTTGAGCACTTCGGGTGCAAAAAACACTTTTTGAAAGGAATAAAGCCTAGTACTCATAACTGCGAAATTCGCATTTTTTTGACATTGCTTCGACAATTTGACGTTTGATACACGCATAAAACGTCAAATTGTCAACGCAATGTCAAAAAAATGCGAATTTCGCAGTTATGAGTACTAGGCTTAAGCACATAATACCCTGGAGATGTTTCGGAGCAGGCAATCCCGATCACGTGATTTAATATGGCCGTTCACATGGCAATACGAATGTCAATCCCCAGGGCTGCGTTCAAAAACGGCTAAAGCCGAGCCAAAATTGGCGTATTGCGTTCAAGTTCGGCTCCAGCGTGCCAAAAACGGTTGGCTTTACACGTTCCAAATCGGCCGCGGTAAAGTAACTTTTGAAGGCTCTTTCAACTGAGTCTAGAAATGGTTATACGAATTTTGATTGGATGAGACCAAATTCAATATGGCGTGGCGGCCAGCAAGTTAGTTTTGAATATGTGTTTTCATGCATATTTCAATTAATTTGTTTGTTTGCAGCTTCGATTTTGATTATCCAATAAAATATTGGTTAACTAAGTACGTAAACTATTAAGTCGGGCAGAAACTAGATATTTTTTGTGTTTTTTGGTCCATGTATGGTCGCCACGCCATATTTAATGTCACGTGGTTTGGATTGCCTATTGAGAAACGGTATTTGGCGTTCCAGCAAATTCACACCAGATTTGGCATCGCCGGTAGAAGGGGAATAGTAGGTTTTGGCAATTAGCATTGCCGTCTTTGAACGCACTCCAGAAGTTCATTGGTCCCTATGTGACAAAATAACTAATTTTTCTTTGATTTTTCCTTGCGTCCGCTATTTTGCTCAAAGAGCAGAGCGTGCTGAGCGGAGCCGTAATCACGTGACCAGCGAGCGAACAGAGCAGTTGAACGCTGTATAAAAGTGCCAGAAATTTTAATAAAAGAACGCGAATGAGGCTGCACCGAGTACACTTTTTAAATAAACGAACGGTAAAGTCAAGCTCAGAGAACTCGGACCAAAATAACGAACGCACGGTAATCCGTGCGTTCGTTATTTTGGTTTATTAGCTTGGAACTATCTGACAATTCTGACATCGCTTCCCATTCTTATATCTGTCTCTTTTTAACAGATGTGATAATAAAGGAAGGGAGGACATGGGGTTTATTTATTCCGTGCGTTATTAGAATAGTTGAACCAATCAGTAACAATAGGAGCAGTGTAAACAGAACAGAGTTAGTGTAGATGGAACAGAAATTATTGGAACACTTATAAGGTGTTCACTTGTACTGCTTTTCTTGCTTCAAGCAGATCTTAGCAGCAGTACAGTGGAAATCATTGCAATTGGCACACACTATATAAATATCCCTCGTAATGTGTCAAATCTGACACACCAGTAATAGCAAAATGCTGCACTAAATAGATTTATTGGTTAGAATTTTGACTCAATACGAGAGATTTTAAAGAGTGTGTGCCAATTAGGCAATCCAACGACCTGTCCAAATGGCGTCTGGTTGGCAAACAATAAACAAAAAACATATGTTTTTTTTTTTGGCAGGATTAAGCCTAGTACTCATAAGAGCGAAATTCGCTCTTTTTTAACATTGCTTCGACAATTTGACGTTTTATGCGTGAATCAAACTTCAAATTGTCGAAGCAATGTCAAAAAAGATCGAATTTCGCGGTTATGAGTACTAGGGCATATCAATACACGGTGCGAGTACTCAAATCTGACACTTTTCTGACATCGTTGACATAAAACAACCCGTATTCTAACCTCATAAAAATTTCAAAATGCCAGCTGGTTGGCAAAAGTCACGTGGTTTGAATTCCCTAATTGCAATGATTCCCACTGTACCATATATAGAAGCTCATAAATAGCAGCTCCTAACAGATCTTTCTGATTTTTTGAGCAGGTAGAGTAATTACAATTGAACAGCCTCTTAAAGTAACTCGAACAATAGAGTAATTTAAATCGAGTCAGTGCAAATTAAACAGAATTGGAACAGTCAGGGTAATTCGGATAGTTGAACAGATCAAAAAGAGTCAGTGCAAATGGAACAGTCACGGTAGAATTACTGAAAACCTAAAATTAAATTTCAAATCAGTCAGAGGTATTCTTTCGACCTGAACAAACTTGGTTTGTTTCAAACAATTGTCATGTGGAATGCGTTTAGAAATGGAATGTGAAGGTAGAGTAGTTGTATGTCAGAGTGTTCTGACGTCATCACTTGGAGTGCACTCTGGGTGCGCTTTTTCTGAACGTATTAACCCTTTTCACGTAGCTTCGGTTTAACAAACCGCAACATACCGCTCAAATTCGAGTGGTAGGTATCCATCACGTCACTTTGTAACCGGGTTAGAAAACAGTATGTCATTTCTCTAACCGTATTGTAACCCGGTTAGTTAAACCGGAGCCACGTGAAAAGAACTGTTGGGTGTTGCGGTGAATTGTCAACATCAAACCCGGTAAAAAACGCGGGGCGTTTTTCAACCCAGTTCCTGAGTGGGGTAATTTGGGCGCACTCTGGGCACGTCAATTTTCGATTTCTGAACGATTCCAGCGTAAAACCTAGTACTCATAATTGCGAAATTCGCATTTTTTTGACATTGTGTTGACAATTTGACGTTTTATGCGTGTATCAAACGTTAAATTGTCGAAGCAATGTCAAAAAGTGCGAATTTCGCAGTTATGTGTACTAGGCTTTACACTCCGAGTTAGCACCTGTTAATTTATGAACGGTTTAGAGTTACTCTAGGTTCACTCCCACACCCAGAGTGCTATTTCTTAACGCAACCGTGGTTTTACAAGGATTTTATTGGCCCTAATTGTTTTTTTGGCCCCTCATAAACAAATCTTATGTGATTACAATTAGTTTGTTCAGATCAAAAGAGTACCTCTGGAATGTTATAGTAAATAAATTCATAGCATATTAGCATATTAGAGTAGTTCGAACAGTAACAATTAGAGCAATGCAAATAGAACAGAGTTAGTGCAGATGGAACAGAAATTGAAGCAATTATTAGAACACAGATGGAATACTGGAGTAATTTAAATCGAGTTACTGCAAATATAATAAGGCCCGTATTTATAGTCGATGCTCAAGGTTGCGTCTTGGCTCAAGTACGACCTTGACGTTATATTTGCGTTTCCAAACAGCACGTAACGATGCTCACAACTGTTAAAAATCGGAACTTGAGCCAAGCACCCGTCTATGAATACCGGGCTAACAGAACTAGAACAGTCAAGGTAGTTCGGATAGTTGAATAGATCGAAAAGGGTCAGTAGAGAGTTCTCGTGTCTCAGACGCTACGCTAATACGGTACCGCTAAGAATACGGTATTTCACATGGTATTTTATAGTTCTCGGACACGAAGACACAAACATTTTCTAATCCCTTATTCTGTTTACATTTTGACAGCTAAGTTGGAGTGATCTAACCCAACTTTTTTTGCTTGTTTTCTAACGTTCATTTATCCTGTAGATTCCTGAGCTTGATTAATTTTCCCTTGGTGTTTTTTATGGAGGAATTATTAGAAGAGACTGTTTTTGCAGACATAAATGTAATTTAAACTAGTTCTGACATTAGCGTAGCGTTACGGTAAGATTTCCGTTAAGTTCCGTTAGACAGCGGACACCGCTAACGCTAATACCGTAAGTACTGTTATACTTGTCAAATAGCGTTACGGTATTTGAAATTTGGATGGCACAAGAACTCTCTATTTACTAAAAATCGAAAATTAATTTTCAGGCCTACTGTTATAGTGAATAAATTTATTGTTTAGTAGCATATTAGAGTAGTTCGAACAGTAACAATTAGAGCAATGCAAACAGAACAGAGTTGTGTAGATGAAACAGGAATTGAAGCAATTGGAACATTTAGAGTAACTCGAACAATAACAGGAATTCAAATAGAATCAATGCAGATCAATGAACTATAAACATGTACGGAATAGACCGGTCTATCTATGAAATGAGGCAAATTTATTTGAGGTTTGAAAATACCAAACCTAACAGCAATAAACTAGAGAGAGAAGGTCGCATTCACCAACACTCAACATGTTGAGTGATTATTTAGCGACTTTGTTGAAAACAGATGAAAATCAGCTGTAAACCAATCAAAACTGTTTTATCTTGTGTATTCCACTTGTTGGAACAGCCACTGTAGTTGGAACAAAGCCGCTTACTAATCTCTCAAGATGTTGAGTGTTGGTGAATGCGACCATTGGTATTCCTCTGAGCTTGAATTTACCGTTCGTTTATTCAAAAAGTTTACTCGGTGCAGGCTTATTCGCGTTTGTTTATTGAAATTTCGGGCAATCGTATACAGCGTTCAACTGCTCTGTTCGCTCACTCTGCTCTTCGAGCAAAATACCAAAAGCAAAGTTGATAGCTAATAACTCTAGTAATTTTGACGCACAAGGCTGAGTTTGGCTTTGCACTCCACGGAGCGGAACGGTATTAGCATGGATATCGTGACGTCATACGCGGTTATAAGCCCAACGCAAAAGAGAACACTCTGAGAGCTAAATTCTTGAAAGGAATACATAGGTACAACTTTAGTTCATTGATGCAGATGGAATGCTAGAGTAATTTGAATTGAGTTAGTGCAACTATAACACAACTAGAACAGTCAAGGTAGTTCGGACAGTTGAGCAGATCGAAAAGAGTCAGTGCACTTGGAACAGTCAGAACAAAGTTATTAAAAACCCAAAATTAATTTTCAAAATAGCCTATTAATTACACTCGGTTATTAGGCGCCACAATTTAAAGGGGTTTTCTCGCGTCTCAAAGTTTTGAAACATTTGTCAAAACTGCCTTAAAATGGTTTGAAAGCTTGGATTGGATTTTGAAACGGTTTGAACCAATTTTGTGTGACGTCATGGGGTCATCGCGAGATTCAAACCTGCTTTGAGTCAGTTTCAAAAAAGTGCCCGAGAGAGAACAGCTTTAAAAGCTCTAAGTACAGAAGCGCCCTCAACACTTAACTTTGAATATCACATCCCATTTGCCGCAAATAAAAGCCAATGTAAATTTTTTCTACAAATAATTTTCCTTTTAAAATTAACAATAATTAACACAGAGATTTCTTACAACATTTCCTTTTTCGCACACAAGAAAAATCGGGACAAAGAAAATATATAATCTGTACACTAAACTTTTTCCAAGAGTAAAAAAAAACATATTGAACTAATAACAACTCAGCACTCCTTATCTTATCTCAGTCATAAATGGTCAGTTATCCAATTAAAACGCGCATGGAATCACATTTTCGCACTTTTTCAATTTGGAGAACTATCTTTGCGCAATGTCTTTTAATAACAATAACTTAAAAATTAATTTTTCTCTTCTTTCTTCTCTTTTGATTCTTCCTGTGTTTGTTCCTGGCTCTGACTGCTACTGCTGCTACTCTCTCTTTCAGCTGCCATCTACAAACAAAAAATAATTAGAAACAATTATTAATAAACAAATCAATTACCTTTTTGTAAGCCATTTCAAATAATTTCAATGAACTCTTTTGTAATTCTGCTGTAGCTTTACGGATTTCTTCTGGATCGCCTTCATCTTTTTTAGCCAAAAGGTCCCTTACTTTAGTGATTTCTTCTCTTAGTTTACTGCACTCTTCTTCAGGCAATTGTGATTTGTACTCTTCCATTTTAGTTTCAGTATCGTGTACAATGCCTTCTGCTTGATTAATAGCTTCAATTCTTTCTTTTTTGACTTTGTCTTCTTGTGCATATTGTTCAGCAGTTTTGACCATGTTTTCGATTTCATCTTTACTCAAACCACCTGAAGACTGGATAACAACTAAAAAAAAAATTAAAATTAAAAAAAAACATTTACAAAAAATAATAATAGTTACTTTGTTGTTCTTTTCCAGTTCCCTTATCTCTTGCAGAGACATGTACAATACCATTAGCATCAATATCAAAAGTGACCTCAACTTGTGGTACACCTCTTGGTGCAGGTGGAATACCAATCAAAGAAAATTGTCCTAAAATTTTATTATTGGCAGCCATTTCACGTTCGCCTTGAAATACTTTAATTTCAACTTGAGTTTGTCCGTCAGCAGCTGTTGAAAACACTTGAGATTTTTTGGTTGGAATTGTAGTATTTCTATTGATTAGTCTAGTAAAGACACCTCCAAGAGTTTCAATACCCAAAGACAATGGTGTAACATCAAGCAAAAGGACATCGGTAACATCCCCTGCTAATACACCCCCTTGTACAGCTGCACCTACAGCTACAGCTTCATCTGGGTTAACAGCACGGCTGGGTTGTTTGCCAAAGATTTCTTGTACAGTTGATTGTACTTTTGGCATTCTAGTCATACCTCCTACAAGTAAAACTTCACCAACTTCAGCTTTACTGATTTCAGCATCTTTAAGGGCTTTTTGACAAGGCGAAATGGTTCTTTTAATAAGATCACCTACAAGGCTTTCAAATTTAGACCTGGACAATTTAAGGTTCATGTGTTTTGGCCCAGCAGCATCCATAGTCAAATAAGGCAAGTTAATATCGGTTTGCAATCCAGATGATAATTCAATTTTAGCTTTTTCAGCTGCTTCTTTGAGACGTTGCATAGCCATTGGATCTTTTGTAACATCAATGCCTTGTTCTTTTTTGAATTCAGACACTAAGTGGTTTACTAGTAAATTGTCAAAGTCTTCACCTCCCAAAAAAGTGTCTCCATTAGTAGACTTGACTTCAAATACACCTTTTTGGATTTCCAAAATCGAAATATCAAAAGTACCACCTCCTAAATCATACACTGCTATTACTTTATCATCAGTTTTGTCCATGCCATAAGCCAAAGCAGCTGCAGTAGGTTCATTAATTACTCTCAAGACGTTTAGGCCTGATATTTGTCCAGCATCTTTGGTGGCTTGTCTTTGAGAGTCATTAAAGTAAGCAGGTACTGTGACTACAGCGTTTTTAACTTTAGTATTCAAATAAGCCTCAGCAGTTTCCTTCATTTTAATTAAAACAAAAGCCCCAATTTGACTAGGTGAGTACATTTTACCATCTGAACCTTGCACCCAAGCATCCCCATTACTAGCCTTTACAATTTTATAAGACACATTTGTCATGTCTTTCTTGACTTCAGCATCTTCGAATCTTCTACCAATCAACCTTTTGGTTGCATAGAATGTGTTTGCTGAATTTGTGACTGCTTGTCTTTTTGCTGGCATACCAACAAGACGTTCACCATCTTTTGTAAAAGCTACAACTGATGGGGTGGTTCTGGAACCTTCTGTGTTTTCAATTACTTTGGCTTGTTTGCCTTCCATTACAGCTACACAAGAGTTTGTGGTACCCAAATCGATACCGATGACTGCGCCTTTGATTACATCTGATCTATAATTAAATAAGATGAGTGAGATTTAAGTTGATAGAATGTGACTTACTTGAAACGGTATTGGTCATAACTAGGGCTGATGCAAGCGCTGGGGGTCAAATTCTAAAACACACAAACACAAAGATTAGTGACACAATTTTTTTTTAGTTTAACCTCTCAATGGTGTTTTTAATGTTTGAAAAGTACAATGAGGTATTTTTAAGAAAAATTTCTGAATTTCACAATATCACTTACCGTGTTTGTCAAGGGGCTGAATTTTCTCGTGAAAACGGCATTTTGTGTTAACTTCGCGGTTTTAGTAAAAACGCGAGCGGCCGACAACATTTTGGCAATTTAATTAGATTTTTAAAGGGGAAAATTTCACGTGCCACAACTAAACGAAATTGAAGTACTTGTCCGGCAAAATGTGACAGATTGATTACGCAAACAGGGATTCGAGAAAATGGTCGATAGACGGCGCCAGGTACAACCAATCAAATTGTCTGAAAAACTGCGGCAAATTCAAAATGATTGTCTAGAAAATTCCTATGGTAGATTTTTGGTTTTTAGGTTTTTTTGTGAGAAAACCGCATTTCATATGAAGCATTTATCGATATCGATATTCGTAGGTATCGATACGCTGTACACACAAACGTCAATCTCCATGTGTTGTTTACTTTTATATTGAGGTTATGTTTTTTGAAAACAATAATTTTTTGCTCTTGAATTTATTAATTACTAGTACAAAAATATGGGTAAAAAAAGGAAAATTAACGAATCCAAAAGTGACGAGTTCGAATTCGATCCTGTACCGAAGCACTTGGTGACTGCCCACTTGAAAAACCAAGAAAAACGTCTGATAATTATTCTAGAAGATGCCAATCTGGAAACTGTAAAGGTAAGAAAATCCTATTTTTCCTGGATCTGCAACTTTAATTTGTAACCACTAGTTAGGATTGAGCTTGACTGGTTTGAAATTTTTGAACAAGAGCTGTTCTTGAACTCAAAAAGCTTGTAAATCCTTTTAATGGCTCTACTATTAGCTCTGTTCTAACTGACATAAGAACTGTTCCAGAACCAGTAATTTCCAGTTGTCCGCTTATTCTTCAATAAGTTGAACGTTTATCCTACTTGACAAATGAACTGATCAACTGGAAATAACCATTCTAGAACGGTTCTCATGTCGGTTGGAACAGAGCTATTGTTAAAGTTGAACAGCAGTTGAACGAACTTTAATCTGTGATCGCTCTAAATAGAGTGGTTTGGATAAACTCAACTTTTGAACCTCTTTCATGGAGCTCTTATTTAACTAAAGGCTTTTGAGCTTCTCATCAACTGGCTCTCCTAGAACTAAAATTTGAACTGAAAGGTTATAGATATCTCATTCTTGGCTCTACTCTACTAGAGTCAAAGTTGAACTCAAACTGAACTTTGATTTGTGATCACTCGAGAGTGGTTTTAAAAAATCAATTTATGAACCTCTTTTATAGAGTTCTTATTCAACTGAAGAACTTTGAACATGTCCTTAACTGGCTCTCTTAGAGCTAAAATTTGAACTGAAAGATTATAAATATGTCATTCTTGGCTCTACTCTACTACAGTCAAAGTTGAACTAGAATTGAACTTTCATCTGTGTTCACTCTAGGGTGGTTTTAAAAAGTCAATTTTTGAACCTCTTTTATGGAGCTCTTATTCAACTAAAGACTTTTGAACATTTGAACGGGCGAGTTCGAAATAAGTGCGCATTTTGTTATCATAGATAGAGTATAGTAGGCCAATCACTTTTTGTATAGGCACATGACGTGTCCGCAAACGTCTCATTAAGAAAATACAGAGTGTTGAAATTTTCAAAAAATTTTGACTTTTTGCTTTTAGATTCAAAAGACTCTGAGCGATTCTGTTCAAATTTTCGGAGAGTATTTGCGATATACATAAACCTTTTTAACTTCATTGTTGTTCAGTTTCCAGTGTCATGTGAACAGAGTGGAGTATATCAAACAACGAGATTTTCCAAACATTATATTGATTTTTATTTTTTATCTTGTAAACGTCGCATCGAACAAGCAAAACTCGGGTTCCCTTCTTTGTTTAAAATTAAATAAGGAATCAAAAAATAGTTTTTTTTTTCTGTGACGGGAAAAAAGTATACTTTTTGTATCTGTTGTCACTTTTTCTTCCATGGGAAAACAAGTGATTTTTTTCCCACGGGAAAAAAATATCAAGTACAAGTCAATTTTTTTTCCTGAGTGAAAAAAGTAACAGGTACCAATCAATTTTTTTTCTCAGAAGAAATAATGTTTCGATAGAAAATGGTGAGATTTTCCCGTCACAGAAAAAAATAGTGTATTATACAGGGTGAGTTACTAAGTGCGTGGTGGTCCATATCTCCCTCGATATCTCCCATACTAACAGAGATCGGAGAAAAAACTAAATACAAAACTTGTAGATAAACATAAGTACTACATTCCTAAATTATTTTCCAGTATACAGGGTGGCCCAATAACTAGTAGTGACACAAAGTTATGTTTTTTTAAATGACTCTCCCTGTATATTATGACATTTCTGGATTCTGCGGAAAATTCTAGACATATTTCATGTACAGGGTATTTGATTATATTTGGCACCATACCTACAGCCTTTATTATTTAAGATAGAAAAAAAATTTAAATGCAAAACTTGACAGTTTTTTTCTATATTTTCTTTTAACGTTATCAGAAAAAACAAAATCGCATCGGAAAAAGAAGAAACGTAGACAACTTAAACTTTTTTTAATGGAACACCCTGTATATTTTGCGATAAAATGAAAAATCTTTTCTTCCTGATTCCAAATATATACATATTGATGACATTTGGATGAGCCGTTTTTGATACATCTTAGCTTAAATTATAAATAAAATCCAAAGAAATTTTTAAAATATTTGAATGTCTTGACATCCTTATGAAATTTCTGTGCAAATTATCTATAATTTAAGCTAAAATATTATGTCAAAAACTACTCACTCAAATGTGATAAAAATATATATATATTTTGAATTAGGAAGAAAAAATCTTTCATTTTATATATATCAAACACTTTATTAGCAATAAAAAGCTCTTACAAAATGATTTTATGAAATATTCTAAACCAGTAGGTATATACCCAACATGGAATGTCTGGAAAAGTATTCAACAAAGTCTATAAAGTTCTTACATATTTTTTACATTCAGTCTTAAATCTAGAGTAGGAGTCACATTGCTTCAATTCTGCGGGTATACTGTTAAACATTCTTAAGCCTACACTAAACAAAGTGTCACTCTGAAAATCACTAATGTAAAAATTATTTACCACACTGGATCGCGTTTGGTATGAATGAACATCTCGCACATAAGTAACTTCATCAGATAAATATGATGGTAACATATTATGTTTTAGTTTGAAAACAAAAGTTAGCATTATGTAAGTTGATCTTTGTTGTACATTCATAAGGTCTAATTTCTCCAGCATGGATTTTATTGGTGTTCTTTTGTTACAAAGTAATATTGCTCTCATGCAACGATTTTGCAGTTTTTGTAGCATGTCTCTTTGAGTTAAACCTAGATAATGATACAATGTACCGCAATATTCAAAATGAGGAGCAATTATTGACTTAAAAATTGTGAGTGTAGCGAAAAGTGAAATCTTGTTATTCAATCTGTAAAGAAAACCTGCTTTTTTTGCTATTTTCTTTTTTATGTAGTCACAGTGCAAGGATAGATTAAGTTCGGGATCCAGCATTACACCCAAATATTTGAAAGATTTAACCTGTTCTAAGATATCGTTATTCATAATGGTTGAAAGAATATTCATTTCCCTGGATCATTGTTAATTTGGTTTTTTCATGGGTTATGGGAATAAGGAGTAAAGAAAACCACTTATCTTATGGCCATAAGATAAGTGGTTTTCTTTACTCCTTATTCCCATAACCCATGAAAAAACCAAATTAAAGTTATTCATAATTATTTTTACTGCTGCATTAGTACTTTGTCTTCGAACTTGATTAAGGCAATGTTTAGAACCAAGAATCATGAATTTCGTCTTTGCAACATTTAGTTTTAAACCATTTTCTATGAGCCACACATCAATATTTTCAAGATCTTTGTTTAACAGTTTTTCCATTAATGTTATTTCATCAATATCACAGACAAAATAAAGCAAAGTGTCATCTGCGAATAATTTTATTTGACAATGTTTGAAATGAAGAACTATATCATTGATGAACAACAGGAAAAGAATAGGTCCCAATATTGAACCCTGAGGAACCCCTTGATCTATGCCTATGCTATTGGAATTGGCATTTTTAAATTTAACCTTCTGAAATCTCCCACTTAAGTATCCTTTGAACCATTTTAGTACTATGCCTCGAATACCATACTTTGCCAGTTTTAGTAACAAAAGATCAATGTTTATTGTCTCAAAAGCTCTACTGAGATCCAAAAATACTACACCAATGACTTTTTTCTTCTGTATTTGAGATTTCCAACCTGATATCAAAAACTGCAAAGCCGTTTCGCATGAATGTTTTTGTCTGTATCCTGATTGTTGCTCTACCAAAATATTATTTCTATCCAAATAATGAAGCAGCTGATCCTTCACCAGCAATTCCAAAACCTTTTCATAAACTGGTAATGTGTTTATGGGCCTATGCTCTGAACAAAGTATTGATTTTGGGACCTTTTCGATTGGGACTACAGTGGAACATTTCCAGGCATCAGGAAAAACTCCCTGTGATAGAGATGTATTTATCAAATCTAGAAAAAATTCTCCTGCAATATCAAGAGCTAATTTAAGCGTGTTCAAGTCGATTCCGTCTTGATCACTGGAGCCCCTCCCCATGCCTAAAACTTTCAAGGATAACATTTCCCAGTCAACTGATTGAAAGCTGTCGAAGGAACAACCAATTTGTGACATTCTTTCCAACACAAAATCTAAACCCTTTTATGGCAAAATATACAGGGTGTTCCATTAAAAAAAGTCGAAGTTGTCTACGTTTCTCCATTTTCCGATGCGATTTTGTTTTTCCTAATACCGTTAAATAAAAATATAGAAAAAAACTGTCAAGTTTTGTATTTAAATTTTTTTTCTATCTTAAATAATAAAGGCTGTAGGTATGGTGCTAAATATAATCAAATACCCTGTACATACAATGTCATATACCTATCTTCAACTATTTCGGAAATATTGACCGTTGAAAACTGACTTTTTTGCATCTTTGACAGACTGTAAAACCTGAACGGTTAATTTTACAAGAAAGCGGATTTAACATTCCTATCTTAGTTTTCCATAAACTATCATTTGGCACCAATCTTGAATTTAATCCATGATTAAAAGTTCCGCCTAAATTATTAATCTTCGGTTAAATTCAAAGTTGGTGTCAAATGATAGCTTATGAAAATCTAAGATAGGAATGTGAAATCCGTTTTCCTCTAAAATTAACCGTTTAGGTTTCACACTTTCACAGTCTGTCAAAGATGCAAAAAAGTCAATTTTCAACTGTCAATATTTCCGAAACAGCGGAAGATAGGTATATAACATTATGCATGAAATATGTCTAGAATTTTCCGCAGAATCCAGAAATGTGATAATATACAGGGGGGGTCATTTAAAAAAACATAACTTGGTGTCACTACTAGTTATTGGGCCACCCTGTATATTGGAAAATTATTTAGGAATGTTGTACTCATGTTTATCTACAAGTCTTATACTTAGTTTTTTCTCCGATCTCCGTTAGTATAGGAGATATGGACCACCGCGCGCTTAGTAACTCACCCTGTATATGGAAAAAAAGTAAGATTTTAGCGCTAGCTCTAAAATTTAGTACTTTTTTCCTTTGTATAATAAATAACTATTAATTTGTCAAAAAGCCCAGGAGCGTACCACTTTTTTCTTCTGAAAAAATAAGAGTCGCTCTAGTTCCTGTCCTGGAAAAGTGGAACTCAAACTATTTTTTTAAAAAGATGCTTGAGAACATTGCAAACACTCTCTGAAAATTTGAACAAAATTGCTCAAGGCATTTTGAATCTAAAAACAAAAAATAAAAAAAAAACGAAAATTTCAACACTCTGTATTTTCTTAACGAGACGTTTGCGGACACATGTACAGGGTTATTGGTTATAAATGTCACCCCCCTCTATCTTTTTTATTTGACAATTTAGAAAAAAGAGTCCCAAATAAAAAATTTATGGTTGAAATTAAATTTTTTGAAAAACTCACTTTTGTATATACAGGGTGTTCCAAAAAAGCTGGTCGTGCTCCAACTTTCTTATTTTAAATTGAATACCCTGTATAATATTCAATATTCGGATTCTACATCAAATTCTGAGCAGATTTCATGTGATATACCCTATAGGGCATGTCCATGTGACGTCACAAATGAGTTTGACAGTCGCCCTGAGGTAAAACCAATGAACGTAAAACAAATCATTTATTTACATTCGTGTAGATTAGGCCGGTTATGTTTTATGCGGTTTTCACAGCTTTTTTACAAGTTTTTGTGTTATTTTGTTTTAAAAAAGTTAAAGTAAAGTGTTTATGTTCCAGTCTATGTGGTTTTTTATCCAGAAGTTTGCTATAGGTTTTTCTATAATGGATTAAATTTAGGTTTTTTCCAACAAATATCAGAACCAAGTGTCACAAGAACAAATATATAAGTATAGTTACTCTATATTCAATCTATTTTTCTATCAGATCTTCTCTTTTAACAACATTAATCAATTTTTCTCTTCTTTCTTGAGCTAACAAATCAAACTTCCCATTGTTATTTAAAATTGATGGAAACCTATGGAAGGATATTGTATCCCTTGCGCTATACTGCCACAATTAACAACTAAACAAACTCTAGGCATGTCCAAGAAACTTCTGGAGCACATAAAATGTATTTATTTAAAAAAATCTAACTAAAAACTTAAAAAAACACTGTAAATTATATCTTTGTTTTACCTAAGGCGACTGTCAATAGTGTCAAACTGTCAGATCGTGTACTTGCCCTATACCTATCGATTAAAGGCGATTAACCGGTCGGTCATAGTTGACAGATAATCAATGGAGCAAACGTCATTTGTCAACCAATTGGTATAAAATGACGTTAAATGCATTGTTCATCTGTCAATATAACCGACTGGTTAATCGCCTTTAATCGACTCAATTGTTTTGGAAATATTGACAGTTGAAAATTGACTTTTTTGTAAATTTGACAGGCTGTAAAACCTAAACGGTTAACTTTTAACCAAAACCAATCCTTAATTTTTTTCTAAGATTTTTCACAAGTTATCATTTGACACCAACTTTGAAATTAATCGAAGATTAAATTTAATTTGAATTTTCAATCATGGATCAAATTCAAAGTTGATGTCAAATATTGGTGTCCACTGATAGTTTAAAAATATCTAAGATAAAAATGTAGGATCGGTTTTGCTCTAAAATTAACCGTTTAAGATTACAGCCTGTCGAAGTTGAAAAAAAGTCAATTTTCAACTGTCAATATTTCCAAAACAGTTGAACTTAGGTATAGGGTCTGCCATATGAAATCTGCTCAGAATTTTACGTAGAATCTGAATATCCAATAATATACAGGGTATTCCATTTGAAATTTGGAGCACGACCAGATTTTCTGAAACACCCTGTATATGCAAAAGTGAGTTTTTCAAAAAATTTAATTTCAACCATAAAACTTTTATTAGTTTTATTTGGGACACTTTTTTCTAAAATATCAAATAAAAAAGATAGAGGGGGGTGACATTTATAACCAATAACCCTGTACCTATGCAAAAAGTGATTGTCCTACTGTACTCTATCTACCATAACAAAATGCACACTTATTTCAGACTCACCCTATATTTTATTCTTGGCTCTACTCTACTAAAGTCAAAATTGAACTAGAATTGAACTTTAATCTGTGATCACTCTAGAGTGGTTTTAAAAAGTCAATTTTTGAACCTCTTTTATAGAGCTCTTATTTAACTAAAGGCTTTCAAACATCTCCTTAACTGGCTCTCCTAGAGCTAAAATTTGAACTGAAAAGTTAATTCTTGGCTCTACTCTACTAGAGTCAAAGTTGAACTAGAATTGAACCTCTCTATAGTGAATTTTTCCTAAATGAAAATTGACTTAGATTACCATTTAACTCTTTTTTTTAGGTTGGTCAAAAATTCGAACTCCTCAACTGCGACGACCACCTTCACATTTTAAAAAAGAACAACCGAGATCCAGGTTCTTGCCGGCCTGATATCACCCATCAATGTTTGCTTATGCTATTGGACAGCCCCCTAAACAGAGCAGGTTTATTGCAAGTTTACTTGCACACTAGCAGTAATGTATTGATTGAAATTAATCCACAAACCAGGATACCGAGGACTTTTAAGAGATTTGCGGGATTAATGGGTAAGAATTATTACTTGTATGTGAAATGTTTGTTTTATTAATTGTTATTGTTTTTAGTTCAACTTCTTCATAAGTTTTCCATTAGAGCGGAAAGTGGGCCAAAATTACTTAAAGTAATTAAAAATCCTATAACAGACCATTTGCCTGTAGGAGTTAGAAAAATTGCAATGTCTTTTTCATCAAAAATAGTGAAAAATTGCAAAGAATTGGTTCCCAATGGAGAAGAGCCTATTGTAATGGTAATTGGAGCTTTTGCCAGAGGAAGTTTAAATGTTGACTATGCCGAAGACAATATTTCCATAAGCAATTATCCTTTATCTGCCGCTTTGACTTGTACAAAATTATGTTCAGCTTTTGAGGAAGTTTGGGGCATAATTTAAAATAAAACAAATAAAATCCGTATAATACATCTTAGTTTATTCTAACATCACTATATCTGACTTAAAATAAAAGAATAAATTGTAAAAAGAAGAAAAAAGAAAGGTATAACAGCCAAACATTATATTACAGTTAAATATACCATAAATTAAATTTCAATAATATACATTATTGTTTAGAGTTTGAATAATATAAAAAGATGTTTATTTTTTTCAACTTTTTGGGCTGGACTAAACAATAATTTTTAAATGGTTTTTTTAAAAAAAAGGGAAGACTTTTAGTCCATCCCTCGTACAACTAAATTTATTTAAGTTACATTCTATGTTACAATATTTTACATTTTTCTTTTTTAAATATAAATAATTATTTGTTGGAAAAAGGATTAACTATTCCTTTTTGAGAAAAATGCCAATAAATTATTATTGCTAAGAAGGGGATAATAATAGAATAGAATATGGAATTATTATTTTTTTTTGTACAAATTTTTAACTGATTTACTACTACTAATATAGGTCTGTTTTTACAGAAATCACAAAAAAGTCAGAGTGAAATTTCATTGGTTGAAACTAGTTTTCTGACTGTTTCGCTCTGATTGGTTTGTGATTCCTGCAGAAACAGACCTAATTATAATTATAATCTTATGAGACGTCCATTATTTTTTTTTTTAATGTGAATTTTCAAAAAAATATTTAGCAGTCTTATACCTCATCTACTTCAATTGATTTTAAGTAAAAGACCAAATAATATTTTTCTTTTTTTTTTAAAGGAACACGCACGAGTCTTATGAGAAAAAATAAATTTCAAGATTGTCATGAAATTGAAATATGTTATGCTTCTTGATCTCCTGAGCGTAAGTTCTTGTAGGACCAAAAAGATCCTATGATTAGTTTCGGAAATACAGGGCCGGGTTAACATAACAAAATTTTGACAAAAAATAAACATTTCGGAATATGTTGAGTTCAGGCACTGACATATTCTAGGTTAAAAAATGCCAAAGTAATGTCATCTGAAGCTTTCAAGTTGAAATAGTATATTACAATCCAAGACGGGAAGTGCTTCATTCACTGAACCTCGAGACAGCAATGAAGTTTCCCGTCGAGGTTTGTATACTATTTTATTTTTAACCATAATTTCTTGAAAAAAAAAAAATAAATTCGTGACAACCAAATAAATGAGGTCGGGAAATGAGGACGGGTAATGAGGACGGAAAAAATTTCCCGTCCTGGGATAGTTGATGTACCAGGAAAATTAAAAGACAGAAATGTGACATTTTCAAATTTTTGAAAATGGGTCATTTACATTCACTTCGAAATCCAATTTGTCTTGAAATTGACGTGCTTGTCATATGGCGGTAGCACATATCCATTTACATTGAAATAAATTTGAAGTTCACTTCGAAGTGCACTTTAAATTTGGGCGAGATGCTTGCCGAGGTCAAGCAGAAATTTGTGAAATGTTAAATTTTTAGGTTATTCATCATGATTCTCATTAAATTCTGACGTTTTGACTTGACGTTTTTGTTTGGCAATGTAAATAATAAAATATCAAACATCAAATTTAACTTAGGAAACCGGTCTTGTATCTCTTGAACTAATCATAGGATCTTTTTGGGCCTATGAAAACTTACGTTTAGGAGGTCGAGAAGCATAACATATTTCAATTTCATGACAATCGTGAAATTTATTTTCTCTCGTAAGATCCGTGCGTGATCCTTTATTTAATTTACTGTTATATCTTATTTCAATATTTTTTTTTGTGAAAGTTTTACTAATTATAAAATTAGATATTGTAGTCCAATCATTATAGAGGTACGGTTTCTTTCCATACAGTGTCAATAAAAGGGAAAAATGATCAGTATCAAAAGCCAGGGAATAATCATGGTCATGGAGTAAAATTTAGGATAATTGGACAAAATAGAAGGACTAGAGATAAAAGGACAAAATTGGACGACTTTGTAATGATTATTGAAAGAAAAAGACGAAGTTAATAGTGCAATGGACAGTTTACAAAGGTGAACTTTGTACAGAGTCTTTTCCCATATATTGACACCTTCCCTATAGGGGTGATGCGAGAAGATATCAAAAAATTGTGAATACAAGAGTTTTGAGGTTTTACCTGAAATTTTTGAATCTAATGTCAAAAACTGTTTTGTTCTTTTAAAAATGTCAAATTTTGATAGATGGTTGGTTTTTTCTTATGGAATACCCTATATATTACTTTAAAGTTGAAAAATGTAGAATTTTCTGAATTCAAATATATGGTTTAACTACTTTTAATTAAGCCGTTTTGAAAATATTGGGCTCTAAATTTCAAGAAAATAACATTCTGTGACTACATTGAAAGACCTCCTGTGTCATGTCAAACAATAACAATGGCACCACCTACCAAGGTGTTTCAATGTATTTTCCTTGAAGTTTAGAGCCCGATATTTCCAAAACAGCTTAATTAGAAGTAGTAAGTAGTTAAACCATATTATTTGAAATCGGAAAATTCGACTCTTTTTAACTATGAAGTCATATATGGGGTGTTCCATAAGAAAAAAAGTGATCATCTGTCAAAATTTGACATTTCTAAAAAATAATAGTAGATTATACCACAAGTTAATAATGATAGCTATTATTCCCGAGGATTATTACGAACTGAGCCGCGTTAGCGGCGAGGGAGTAACATTCCGAGGGAATAATAGCCATTATTGCGAGTAGTATACTCTACTTTATTTACGACAAATTAATTTATTTAAGATTTTCAATGAACAAATTTCATCCGTCTCATAATTTTCAATACAAATCCACAAGCACTACACGTTTGACACTGACACTTTTGTGGAATAATGACCATTAATCCCTGGAGGAATAACATATGTCATTATACTGCCAAAATCACAAATATAATACGCACATTATACATTAGTCGTAAATAAAAAAGGTTTTGACATCGGATTCAAAAATTTCAGGGAAGACCCCAAAACTTTTGCATTTACAATTTTCTGATATCTCTTCGCATAACCCCTGTAGTGGGGGGTCAATATATGGGGAAAGACCTTGTACCTTCAGATATTATTTTAGTCCCATAATAATTGTATAACGGACACTATAAATAAGGTAACCAAATAAAATGCACAGCTAAAACTAGATTATAAAGAAAAAAATTGCTAATTATTCGTTTTTGTATTATTATTTTCACAAACAAATCTAAGGCTGGTCTTACGTTGAATTTATTCTCCTAAGCAATTTAGTGTAAAGCCGACCTAAAAAAAAACTGAGTATCTCTGAAACAACGCTAAACTTACCCCTATCTGAAACAACACTAAACTTACCCCTAATTACTTATTTTGTATGTATAAAAATCAACAAATGAGGTAAATGTCAATAATAGTATTTTATTAAATTAGAAAAAATCTGTTTTTTTAATTTTTTGTACCTACATTTATAATAAAATTAATTAACAAATTAGGTTGTTAATTATCGGACTGGTAAATTTAATTACATAATTATTATGCCCGCAATAAAACAATCTTTAGTACTTAATTACACAATAATTCATTTCACTCTTGTCCGTCACTCTTTTACTAAACCTTAAAGTCTAAAACCAAAAAAGCTATATACAGATATCATTTTTTTACAAAAAGAAAACTAGACAATTTATTAAATTCACAATATAGGGCGGCGAGACACGTAAAAAATAAATAAAAAATGTCTCAATTTTTTTTAATAATAATAATAATAAATCAAACTGTTATGGGATTTGCTGTAATTCTAGTACAAATGGAAATACCCTACGGTTTGAAACTTCAACAAAAAAATAAATATAAACTTGAAATAATAAAAAAAAAAATAATAGTAATAATTTGCCTAATCGCGACTGAGACACTGTAACGAACCTTCGAATGCTGCCATTAAATCACTTTGCATGTTCATGTCTATTTTATTCGCCATCTAAAATAAATAATTGTACAATTTATTGAAGAACATTCTACAGGGTGGAAAATTAAAAAGGATCCACCTGGATTTTCTCGAAAATTATCAAGAAATTAAAAAAACGTCGAGACACGTCGATTTAGTTTGCAAGGGGGACACTTTTTGGCTATTTCAAAATTTTTCTAGATTGCACCCCCTTACCGGAGTGAGTTGCACCCTCAAAAGTTGAATAGGGAAACTGGGTCGAGTGGTACCTTGTTTGAGAGGTGTTTGAGATGACTTTACAGATCTGTAATTTATTTCGAAATCTGACTACTAGTTTTCAAGATATTCGCCTCGGAAGTTGCCATGAGGCGAAAAGAAAACGCGTTTTTCGTACATTTCTACAAGAAAAAATTGAAATTCCTGAAACACGTCAATTTTGTTTGTTTTAAACCTTTGTTTCTTTGTTACTTGTTGGTTTGAACCTTTTGAAAAACCTTTCAAACATGATCCACTTTTGATTTTTTCACGAAAAAACACGTTCTTTTTTGACCCATGGCAACTTCCGATGCGAATATCTTGAAAAATAGGAGTCAGATTTTGAAAAAAATGAAAAATCTGTAAAGTCATCTCAAATACCTCTCAAACAAGGTACTACTCAACCCAGTTTCCCTATTCAACTTTTAAGGGTGCAACTCATTCCGGTAAGCGGGGTGCAATCTAGGAAAATTTTGAAATAGCCAAAAAATGTCCCCCTTGCAAACAAAATCGACGTGTTTCGGCGTTTTTTTAATTTCCTGATAATTTTCAAGAAAATCCATGTATATCCTTTTTAATTTTCCACCCTGTATATACATCTTTATGGAAGTCTTAAGACCAGTTATTTAATTAATAACTTTTGTATTAGTGTGTCAAATATATTTCGTATTTTTCTCTTAATTTGAATCATGGTTTAACACAATTATCAATTAGTAACTTACCACTTCCCTCCTGCGTCTCTCTTGTTCCTGCAGCCTCTGCCTCTCTCTGTCTGATATCCTGTCCGAACCCGAACTGAGGGAACCTGGCGAAGTGCTGCCCTCACCCGGTGAAGACCTCAACTCTTCAACTCGTTGTGCTTGTACTGGTTTTTCTCGTTCCGCAACCGCTTGCCTAGCTTTTTCTAATGCTTCTTGCTCTTCCACCTCTCTCCTTCGTTCAATTTCTTGCCTCATCCTCTCTCGTTCTGCTTGCTCTTTTTGTTGCCTCTTTAATTCTAACGTTTCCAGCCTTTGCTTTTCCCTATCGGCCTTTTCTTTTGCCTTATTTTGGAATGCCTTAAAACTGTCCATGACTTGCATCATGTTTTGTTGTTTGCTACTATTTCCGGAATTGCTGTTTGGAGGTGAACTGGCCTTTGCCAAGCTACTCCACGAACTGGCATTTTTCACGTCCGGTTTGGCCTTGTTATACCCAGGAAACGCCCCCATAGATTTATGTTGCTCGTGCATTTGAGCCTTTTTATCGTACACATCTTGGGGTTCGTTTTTCATTAGAGGCATTTCTTTTTTGAGCATTTGCATGTTGTTGACGTGCTGAGGCAAGGGGTCAAACATTGACGGTATAGACATTTCCATGGGTAGGCCTAAAGTAGCCATACCATTATTGTTTGTGCCCATTGAAGAGTCGAACTCGTGTTTTATGCTGTAGCCGTTGTTTTGAGTGTGAATTCCTGGATGAGAGTGACCCTAGAATTGAAGAATTAGTTAACGAACAATTAAAACATCTGTTGGAAATGACAATATATTTTTTGAAAAATCTATAATTTCTATTTAGCACTCAAATTCCAAAAATGTATACAGAGTGATTTAGGTAGCCCATGCATTGTAGTAGGCAATCAATCAACATCAATCCATTGTGTATTTAGGTACACAACATTGAAAAACTGAACTTGATTCTTGAAGATCCAATTTATTCAAAAGAAACTCCAACCTTACAACATTCAATTACCATAGAGAATCTGCACCATTGAGGATCTTTGACAGAGACTCCAACATTTGTCTAATTATTTTAACATTTTTAGCCCACCCATCGGATAATGACTGAAAGGGTGCCTTATGTTACGTTTACAACAAAATGTTAAGCGCTTACATTACAGCTTGAAGGTGGACTATAATAGATCCTATTCCTACTAATCCACCTGCAAACTGGACAACTTCTAATGCACAGGCTAAGTAAATCACGGTGTATAATAAATTCATAATTTTTAAATACTAATAAATAAAAATATGTTACGCTAGCCTCTATGAAATCTCAGTTCAGGGCCCAGGGCCTGGATTCCGAACTCAAAATTCGATAGTATCGTCTATGTGAATATAGATAGACGATACTATCGAATCGTGTGTTCGGAATCCGGGCCCAGATTCCAAGCAAGCAGCGAGATTCGAGAATATCGTCTATCTATATTTATATAGACGACACTATCGAATCGTATGTTCGGAATCCGGGCCCAGAACTAAGTTTTTGAAAAATTTATAATGAATTTTGACAATGTTACTTTTGGCTTTTTTTTTCCAAAAACAAATCAATAAACTATCCTTAACAACATCATAAGCAAGTCAATTCCGGGTTAGTAACAAAAAGCGTCAACATACCAGCCCTACCTGATGCATCAGGCTTTGCATGTCCTGATCCATGTGCAAATTATGATGTTGCGGCACTGCCAAAGGATTTGGCGGCATGCCGCCGATCGTAGGCGGCAATCCTAAGGGCTGTTTAAGTTCCAGACTTGCCAGAGGATTGGGTGGCATTGACAAGTGATGTTGAGGGACCATCGCGTTAATGGCCGGCATCTGTTGTTGTTTTGGCTAAGAATAAAATTGTTAGTATCAGATTCATAAAATTAATGGATTAAAAAGGGATAGTGAAAATTACAGGACGAGGAAGTGAAGGATGAGGAAACATTTTTTTTATCACACCCCACCTGAGCTATACTAGTAGTCATAGCAATAACGTTATCAATAGGCTCTATCTTCATTTCCTGTTCCAAATTGGCCAAACTCTCCTCAATAGGATCGGTATACTGCTGTTGAACAGCGGTAGTCAACAAGGGAGATGGTACTTTGGGCTTGTCTGGCGACGCAGCCACGCCCACCCCCATTTTAGTCACACCCCCGCCGGTATTTGGCGGCTGGGCCGGTACGGGCGAAGGTATCGTTGGTGGCTTATCACTAGTCGAAGGCTTACGTGGCGCCGCCACAGGTTTTATTGGCGGCGAAGGGCCGTTAACAGGAGTGATCGGCGGCGTCGGTACTACCGAGTTGACAGTGGGCGTGGCCGTTGTCGGTATGGGCGTGGCCACGACTGGTGGTTGGGGCGATTGTTTTTGTTGTAGTTGTGGCACTTGGATGATTGTTGGAGGCTGCGATAAAATATAGGATTTTATTTTGTTACTCTATTAATACAATAAAAATTGATTAACTGGGCCAATAAGAATTTGTATATTTCTTATTGTCTTTGACATTAAGGCCGGTTTACAGTTTGATTAATAGCAAGTGCGCAAGTGTGTAATCTTAAGCTTCATTCTCAGTTGCGCAAAATTCGTTCTTTTTCTGACATTGCTTCAACAAAGTGACGTTTGATACACGCATGAAACGTCAAATTGTCGAAACAATGTCAAAAAAAAAAGCGAATTTCGCGCATCTGAGCCTAAAGCCTAATAGACATAACTGCGAATTGCGGATTTTTATTTTGCGGATTTTTTCTATTGATCGTTTATATCACATGTTTATATTTAAATTTGACAGGTTTGAATAAATTCGAGCAATGGAAAAAAATCCGCAATTCACGGTTATGAGTACTAGGCTTGAGTGTTTAGTTGTCGAATTATACACGGATCTGTCAAGTTAGTCAAGTGATTACACAAAGTGATAAAGTGCAAGTAAATCAAATCGTGTTCTTTTTTTCTGTTTATGGGGTCAGTTAAGTTAGCCCTCCACCCCATATTTCCAAATCCATTACCCCTCAGGAGAGAAACTATAGGAGAATAAGTGGGGGAGGGGGGGCAAATTAACTATACCCTCCCCCCCACACGCCAAATTTCAATTTAAACTAGCACAAATTGTTCTCCGAGTTTTGCACCCTAAATATTAGATTTTGCACCGCAACCCTTAAGCATCTTCAGGGGGTTGAAAGAGAAGTAGTGCCAAAGTACCAGTGATGACGTAGTAGCGTGTCGTATCTCGCTTTGACGTAGGGTGTTTGCATCACAGGCTATAATTCCGCTGGCTTTTGCTTCAATTTTCTAAACTGCCACCGCTGGCGCAAACAGCTGCCGACATAATTGATGTCGTGGCAACGGTGCTATACCAGATGACCTTGAAACCCAAAAAAAAAAAGCCGATAAGCAACCCTTGTGTGTATTATCCTTGGGTAAATTCGAGGATTTCCAACTCTGTTGGGACAAAGTTAAATATGTCGCTGAGAAGCGCTCATAAACTAACCCAAAGTAACTCGTCTTTATATTCTTATTAGCGAACTTTGTTCGCGGATCATATTTTGGACCGATTCCGAACCAGTTCAGGAACATATTAATGGCGTTTCCGGGTGGTAAAATTAGTGCAAAAAAAAAATGTATTTCTGTCTGATTCTTGAACAAGCTGAAAAAAAAAGATGGAAATACATTCACTGCGGATTAAAAACTCTACAATTTACCCAAGGATAATAAACACTACGACAATACAGGAGGATTGCTTATCGTTCCTTTTTGGGATTCAAGGTCATCTAATCACCGTTGCAGAAGTCAGCGGGGTTATAGCCTGTGGTGCAAACACCCAAACAACCTTGGCAAACATCCTGCGTCAAGGCAAGAAACGACACGCTGCGACGTCATCACCGGTACTTTTGCACTATTTCTCTTTCAACCCCCTGTAGAAGCTTTTAGAGTTGCGGTGCAAAATGTAATATTTATGGTGCAAAATTCAAGGAACAATTTGTGCTATTATAAAATAAAGTAATATTTCTATGTACAGGGTGGGGCACGAAAAACTTCCCACTCAGGTTTTCTCAGGTGTTAGGTTACCTAATTAAAACCCCCAAAATTTCAAATGAAGAAGGGGGTCGAGTGATACGTCATTTGATAGCTATTTTATTAAGAATATATCCTCGAAGTCTTAAGTTGCTACTGTTTACCATGCCGAAATGGCGGCTTGTCAAAGTTCTGTGGTTTTTACCTCAAACATATTCTTTTAAGGGAATAAACATGAAGCATTTTGGACTGAACTGTTAAATGACAATACTTAAATTGAATAACAATGTTATTTTATTACTATGGATAGGTACCTTTAAGAATCTGTTGTTTGGCTATTATGAGGTAAAAACCACACAGTTTAGATAGTCGAAAAAAAGCATTTTTCCTAACTTTGACAAGCCGCCATTTTGGCAGGGTGAACCTAGCAACCTAAAACTTTGAGGATATAATCTTAACAAAAATATCTATCAAATAACGTATTACTCGACCTCACTTTCCATTTGGAATTTTGGGGGTACCTGTTACTCCCGTTTAGGAGTTGACAGGTAGGGCGGAAAATACCAATAAAATGTGCCCTTGAAAAAACAAAAATTGACGGGTCCGAACGATTTTTGATTAATTATCCAACACCTGAGCAAACCTAGGTGGGAAGTTTTTCGCGCCTCACCCTGTATATAGTCTCTCCTGAGGGGGCGCAATTTTTTTTTCGGGTGGTGCTAAATGGGTGCAAAAAATGGCATAAGTTTCAATGGATTTGGAAATTGCACCGACCATTTTAAAGAGGCCTTATAGCGATAAGTATTCCTTAAAATGGCATTTTTACTCTATGATTTTTTACATGGAGAAATGTCACTTTAAGCAATACTTATCGCTAAGGCAACCTTAAAATGGTCGGTGCAAACGGCCTTAATAACACTTAAACATGTCAAATTAACATTTGCCACTAAACACTTGCAGTTAACAAAATGTAAACAGGCCATTAGATAAAGTTCAAAAATAGACAAGTTTCTTGCATTCTTTAAATAAATTGTTGACCGTCGATCTTTATTATTTCTCTTGAGGAATCAAAGAGTTGTTGCCATGATGTATAGAGTAATATCTATATAAATCCAGAGAAACCCCATCATTCTACAGAAAACAATTAAATGTATTTCAAGCTGAGGGAAGTTTCTGTGACCTGACTATAGCAGAGGTTCCAGATGGGACCCCTGGAAAATCTTTGAACCATGAAAAATCTTCCATAGAGATTGTTCCAACTTTAGTGATAAAAATTTAACGGTTGACTGTATCAAAAGCCTGGAAGTAATGGGTTACAAATAAAACAAGATATTGTTTCAACTACCTAGTCAATAAAAACTGTCTTACTCTGTCACTTATGATGCATGAATCATATTCACTTACCTGAATAAAATCACAAAAAACCTAAACTTTTAATAACTTACCACTGTGAGAGGTGCACCACCATTGTTGTTATTCACCGAAGGGTTGGGCGACTTTTTGGGATTCGCGATTTTAGGCTTTTTGGCCTGCCTGGCTGCCGAGGCACCTAAAAATCGTTTCACTCTGGATTAAAATCCATCAGAATCTGGACCAAATCTCCGAGTGCGCAACTAAAAATTCCAGCTCTTACCGCAACAAAAACAACCGCTTATAATAAATTTAATAATAAATTTTATTTATTTTCAGACAATAGTTTAGGCTAACACTCTTTGTTCTTTTTTTTTTTTAAATAATTGTTCATCGAGTAAGTATATTGTGTATATTACAAACTTGTCTTTAGCTAATACAAATCAAACTGAAATGATACAAAATCAGCAGCAAATTACACTACATTTAAATAGGCAAGAGATTAGACACAAAACTTTTTCTTATAAGTGTCCGATTGGAAATGTATATACAAACAGAATGAATAAATTTATGTACAAAACCCAAACCAAGGAAAAAGCGAGTAATAAAAAATAAATAAATATATGACAATAATTAATTATATATTGTGAATATTACATTTTTATGTTTAAAAAAAATTTGTATAAAATGTGCAGAATGCCTATCAACATAAAAATCGTGTGAAGTGAGTATGTACAACCATACTGCTTAAATATTACCTAATTAAATTAAATAAATCAAGAATACATGGTACAATATTATATATAGAATTGACATATACATAGCTTTATGATGAGCCATTTATAGTCATTTCACAATAATACTTTCAGTTTTTGATATGAGATAATTTTGTGTCTTGGGGACTGAAAGAGGAAAGGGTTTTGGACTAATACTTTTGCCTGAGTGCAAACAATGTGAATGGTGGCCCAGCGCTCTGTGACCTTTGAAAATATATTTTTTTTAATTTACTAACCATACAGTTACCACTACCATCTATGACCAATTGGCGTTTCACTTGGTTTAATTCAATAAAAATTAAAAAGAGGTCACACCTAAAAACAACCCAAATGAACCACCAATTATTGCGTATTAAAAAAAGAAAAAAAACCAAAAAAAAAAAAAAACAGCCGCCACACACATTGTCTGCATATTTTTTTAAAAAAAATGTAGCGTTTGAGAAAAATTGATTACTTAACTAACGACAAGTGTACTTATCGATATAAATTATTAAAGAGTGGAAATAGTTGCGGTAAGACCTGTATGGCTGGTACGTGTGCTGCTGCATCATCCAATCACTCGTGTATGCACTCAGAGCTGTGGTCCAAAGGGAAAATACAATCATTTCAATTTTTGCTTCTTTCCAAATAAATAATATCCCACTGAATATTTGTATTGAAGAATTAGATATGGATGATTTGTTTGGAAAGACACACAAATAACAAATTGAAATACAACAAAGTAAAATGTTTACAGCTTCATCTTCTTTTGAAATTTGACTATAATCTTATTGTTATACTGTATTATTAAAAATCACTATTTATTTTTATTTATTTTTTGATTAATTTTATAACATCTAAATCTGTACAATATTATTTTATTGTACCATTGTTTTTTTACAGTCTAAAAAATCAGGTTTTTGTTCCTTTAAAAGATAATTCGCCCCATTTATCTATTGAAAATTGCTGCCAGGATTTGAAAAACAGCGGGACAAATTCGAAAAAAAAAAAAATATCAATTTTAGCCCTTGAGATGATTTTCCGTTATATGAACTAGGTAAAAAGTGGATATTGTTGAATCCTCACGAAAATACAGGGTGATCAATATTTCATCTGACCTCAACTTTTGTAAGGATGGCATATACATTGTTGTACAGAGTGTTTCCTCATATTTAGACCCCTAGCTATACACGATGGAAAAAAACTTTGAACACGAAAGTTGTACTATTTTATCGGTAGTATATTTTGGCGCTTCTAAAACAAACAAATTGAAATCGCAACATTATAATAAAAGTCTAATTTTTTTTTTTTAAATGGAACACCCTGTATATTTTTAGCTCTAATGAAAGTCTTTTTTCGCCTGTTTCCAAATATACCATATATGTTGCTATGTATTTGGTTCAGCTGTTTTTTTGCGATTCAAGTTCAGAATTGCATTAGGTAAGCCTCACCATTGTTATAAGTAACCAGAAACAGACTTGATTTAGGGTAATTTTTAAACTTAAACAACTGCACCAAATATCAACATATAAATAAAATAAATAAATAACTTCATCAGACTCCGACCAACAAGGCAAGTAGGTTCACAATTCGAGAACTTCCAGTGTGTTATGAGAGATGCAGTGGACAAATACATAATAGTCGAGCCAGTAAAAACTAACCCACAAAAACTGTGGATAAACCATCATTTATTCAGGGAAATAGATAAGAAACGTAGATTATGGGATAACTATAAAACAAATGAAACACTAAACAATTACCAAGGTTACATACTCAATTTACCCATGGCAATTTGACACAGCTTTTACAACTGAATCTTATCCGGGTCCAGCCCTGCATGACAATAGAGTGAAGAGGTCTATTGAAGAAATACAATTTACAACTGATAAAGTAGAACAAACTCTGAAATGTATGAAAAAAGACTCAAACCTGATGAAATCCCAACAGTTTTTTTCCAAAACTGTAGTGCCACAATTAGCCCATTGCTAGGAATGTATGCTTCATACGAAAATTCCAGCACCTTGGAAACATTCTATTGTCACGCCACTTTACAAAAAAGGTGATTGACATCTACCAGAAAATTATCGCCCTATTAGTCTTACTTGCAACCCCCTGAAATGTATACAGAAAATTATAGTTAAGGAACTAATATCTTTCTTTCTAGAGAACAATCTCATACCTTCAGCCCAACATGGATTTCTACCAAAACGTTCTACCACTACCAATCTTTTGGAATGTCTAAATGATTGGACAAACAACTATGATGTTATCTATCTAGATTATGGATAAGCCTAGAGGTCAACCACTCACACAGTACAGTGATGTCCAGTTTCTGGGAATACTTCTCAAATTTGGACAGTATTTCCAAGTATTTCGCCTCGTATTCCCCGGTATTTCCAAATAAGGTCAACTTGGTTAACTGACACAGCGAGGTATATACCTGAGCCATATGTCAGTTTTTGGCGTATTATTGAAACTTGAATTTTCTACATATAAAAATTTGTTACAAGTGTGTCTCTTTCATATACCCTGCATGTAGTAGAAAAAACATTTCTTATAAGATTTTGGGATTTGGTCAATTTTCCTGAAATTCTGATTAAAAGTGTTCATAGCCACAACTTGATCCTATGACTAGTTTTCGAGATACTATTATCTATTCGCAATCCTATTCGCAAATCCCATGTCCAAAGGTAAAGGTAAAATTTATCACCTTTCAGTGCTATTTGATAGGGAAAGGTGATAACGGACTACGGATCAGCGTTGCCACCTTTGGTAGATTTCTATTTATCTGGTAGATTTTAACCTTTTTGTATAATTTTAGTAGACAGAACTTCTAGTAGATTCTTGTAGTTTTTACTGTTTTTACTTTGTTACATTCAGTTCCATAAAATACGATAAAAATCCTGATATCGATTGTGGAAAAATTAGTTGAAATCGAGAAAGGGAATATGCCCAATGCATTTTAGTGCGTTGTCTTGTTTTGGACTATATTCCCTAATATCGTATTTCATCTGTAGAACCCGTACGGCGCTAATATATTGTCATCTTTCTTTAAGAACGCTGGAAAGAGCAAAACGGAAATACATTTTCATCAAAAATTAAAATCGCTATGACAAACTACGACAGTACCCACTCCCAACTACCTACCAGCGAACGTTTTTGATGTCATTAATTTGTTTCAGTGAATTTTCATTTGTTTAAAAAGGACTGCAAATGATAGTCAAAAATACAAAACCCTCGTGAAACAAACAGTACATTTCTCATACGTATCCATACATATATGAGATATAGAATAAAAGTAGATTTTTGGTATTTTTCAAAATTGCTATAGTAGATTTTTAGTAGATTTAGACAAAGAAACTAGTAGATTCGCTACAAAAAAGTTGACAACGCTGCTAGGATTGTGAATAGGATATGCATTTACATCTACCTGTCACCTGAGCGTGAGGATACCTGTCAATCCTGGTATATATATTTAGATGACAGGTAGATGTAAATGCTTATAAAATGTGTGCATTTCTTGGACATTAAACTACCTGTATCTCAAAAACTAGTCATAGGATCAAGTTGTGGCTATGAACACTTTTAATCAGAATGTTCAGAGGAGCATCATATCAGATTTTCAAGAAAATTGACCGAATCCCAAAATCCCATAAGAAGTGTGCGGGGTCCAATTACTTTTATAAACTGTATCATAACAACACCTGAAATTAACATTGTATTACATATTCTCAATTGTCCTAGAGCAAATATGGTCAGGAAATTATAACCGTTGAACCTTCAAAAGTGCGGACGGTGAAGATACAGAAAATTGGCCCTGAAAAAACCAAAATGCTAAAAGAACAATATACGATGCAGCCGTTTTCTATGACAAACCAAGATCCACCATCTTTGTATTTGGAATAAGAGGTTAAGGTATATAGTCAGTAGGAGGACAGGTTGGTGGAAGAATATATGAATGAAGTAGAAGAAGAACTGTCCACTGTGCTGAACACCATGCAGAAATGGAGATATACTTACAAAGAAAATTGGTTTTATTATTTTATTTTCTGTTCATTTTACCATTTTTATTAAATGTTTTCTTTCACCACTAAGTAATACTTTTGTTGTATCTTCCATAATTCTCAATCAATCATTCTTCATACATAGGTTTCAATAGGTGAAAAAACTGTCCCATGAACGGTTTCGAAACCACTCAGTATACGAATCTTGGTTTCTGCGCAGAATCGTGACGGTACATTGTACGGTTTTCTGCTGTGTTGGAACAAAGCTTATATGTTCCAGTCACCTCAGAATTATTACTATGTGAATTCATAAGAAAATTGGGGTCACACTGTTTCAGTTGGATCAAAATTAGAGTAACTGACCAAAAAAAAATTGCAACACTTAACCAGAACAAAGTGAAACACTGAACTAGAACAAACATGAACACAGTTCTTGTGATTTTAATGAAAATGCCCAAAAATACGTTAAAAGTGGAGTTGGAAGTTATAGAAATTTACAGATACTTCCTTGTATTTCCTAATTATTTCCATGTACTTCCAGAGTATTCCGATATACATTAAGCATATTCCCGAGGATTCCCAAGTATTATACACAAAATCGTGAAGTTGCATTGTAAGCCTTTTAACTCGGAAACTTTACTATATAAAGAGCCTTGACAAAACTCCAAATAAAAGTTCGAAATGTCGGTGAATTTGTAAATAAGGAAGTTTTTATTCCACTTTGTCTTTAACCCACAACTTTTCTCTACCATAATAATCACTTTGGAGGACACTATATTCTCACTATTTCCAAGTATTCCTAGGTATTCCCAGCAAAGTGTACAGTGATTTCCATGAGTGATTTACCCCTCGGAATAAGCATTTGACAAACTTTGGAATTAGAGGAAAGTTACTTGCCTTGTTCAAGGATCTGCTAGAAGATACATTTTTTCAAGTGAGAGTTAATGGAGAGCATTCCAATCCCCATAGGGTAACCAGTGACGTCGTGCAGAATTCAACAGCAAACAAGTGTTAAATGGTTTGCAGATGATTGCAAAAAATCCTGTGATAGATGTGAATTTACTTCAAACTAATCCTAAGAATATTGAAGAGTGGTAAAAAACATGGAGAATAAAATTAAACTCCTCAAAATGCACAAGGATTGGCCCGAATAACCCTAACAAAGACTATATTATTAATGACTCTGCTTTGACCTCAGTAAATGAACAAAATGATCTGGGAGTTGTAGTAACAATCGACTTAAAGTGGGACAATCACATAATTAAAATAACTTAAAAAGCACTCCCTTGAGATGATATCTACTCTTTACAAAATCTATATAAGGCCAAAAATAAAATATGCTTATACTGTGTGGAATCTATATTACATTAAGAATATAGAACTTCTTGAGAAGATTCGGCGCAGAGTGACAAAAATTCCTCCACAGTTGAAACAGTTGCCATATCCGGAAAGATTACTCAAATTCAATTTGACATCCCTTAAAGAAAAAAGGCACGGATGCGTTTTAATCGAAACCTACAAAATAACCAGTGATATTACTATCAGTATAATCTGATAAATATTTGTTGGCATCCTAATCTTCGTGGTGGTTATTCCAAGAAGCTTGAAAAGGAAAGATCATCAAAACTACCTAGGAAAAACTTTATAGTAAACCGTGTAGTTGATTCTTGGAATTTGCTTGGCCAAGATACAGCCTCAGCACCAAACACTAATATTTTTAAAAATCGTGTTGACAGAGAATTGAAAGAATACTCAGAAAGAATAATTCATTATGGTGCATAAACTAAATCTCACATATCCTTTCAAATATCTATGCAAGTCGCAGTGTAACAATAACCCTAATTCATTCATTCATAGCTAAAACTGTGGGTAGTGGTCAAAATATGAGGAAACATCCTGTACATACATAAGATTGATTTTTTCATATTCCTTGACTGAAATTTGCATGTCTCAAGGTTATATTTTTTTCAAATTTACCCTCAAAATATACAAATAAACCTATAAAGCGATCATTTCCAGGATTCCCAGCATCCCTGTTTTGGTGCAATTTTTAAAAATGGACCTTCTCTTTAAATAAAGCTAATAAGAAAAAGCGCAGTCTTATATATTGTTTTCCCAAATCCCATCCACCCAATTTAAAAATTGTTCTAAAACAGCCCCATGTCCATCTTAGCTGTTGGATTCATCTTGTCCAAATCTCAGAGTAATAAAGTATTAACTGGCAGTTTTGTATAATAAATAAAGTTTTCTATTGTACAAGGCGCCGTGAACTAAATTCGATCGCCCAACCTTATTATATACAGGGTGTCCCCGTTCAACTGGTCAAAAATGCTAGGGTATATAGAGAATTAAGATAGAGATACACTGATGGTTGGAAGTGCGTCGTTTCCAAAATACAGCCGATCTGAGTCTGCGGAAGGAATTCAGAGGTAAATGTGCCATGTTGCCACGTTTATTTATAAAAAAGCGAAAATACTAGACGTGAAGTATAGTTCATTCGAAAATCCATTTTTTAATAACAAAATATTGATAACAATAATAAAACGCTAAATATTTCAACGTGGTTGTTAGATCTATTCTTATCTTAATAACTGATTTATTCAATTTTGTCCATTGTAAAAAATAAACATTTTCTAAAGATACCATCAGCTTTTGACTATTTGGCAAGCATCCGGCCTGGATGAACCTGATTAGTGGAGTTTTTGGCAGGATCGCCGTTGCCATGGGGAACCATACGGTTGTCAATGAGCTAACATCACCTTACGTCTCGCTATTGGCCAGGACTCACGTCATTTTATCCTCCCATCTTGGAATATCGATTTATATTGAAATATCCAGTGGCGGAGGTTTGGTCATTGTCGATTTACGTGTAAGAGTTGCAATACGATCACTTTTCCAAAAAGTTCCGCACGCAGCTGGGTATTTTATGAATGAAATCAGCCATTTTTTTTACAACTGCATTCCTCTCGCCGTTGCCCCGTAGACACAGAGTCGCTAGGCGGACATTACTTCTCTATAGTTCCTCTATATACCCTAACATTTTTTGACCAGTTGAACGGGCACACCCTGTATACATTATTTTGGAATGCACTTTTTTTTTAATGCAACCTAATTTAGGCCAAACACCCTGTATATATAACTAATTCGAATTTTTGTTTCCTAAACCTATAAGACAAAATTGTTTGCAGTGTAGTAAAATATTCCGTCCCTATTTAAAAAGTTTTGTCACAACAACATCCCCACCCGAATTCCGTATAACAATAATTTCCCCCCAACATGCCCAATCTTGCGTCCTAGACCTAGCACTTATCAATTAACAAATAAAACTATTTAAAAAAAAAAAAATTAAATGGACGACAAAAATCAATCACGAATTGTAATGGCACTAAATCTCTATACATAAAACCCCTTTTTTTTTTGCAATTTTTTAAATTATTATTTACAAGACCAAGCCAAAAAAAATAACCATTTAATTATTATTTTTCAGGCAGCGTTAAAATGTCTCTGCAAACCACAGACAAACTGAACCGAATAAAACGATCAGCAGAATGAGGCTGAGTAAAAGGAGATCGAGTATTGTTTTTAATTGATAGAGAGCGCCCGTGCTAACCTGCTTCGCTGTCGCTGGAATCGCTCGAGCTGCTGCTCATGGACGACGTCGAACTGTCACTGTCCGAACTGGAGCTGGACGATGACATGTGTCCTGCACCTGCTCCTGTAGGATCAGATTTTGCATCTGAAATTTGAAATTTTGGCTTGAAAAATTCAAGAGTGAAAGAGTTTCTGTACCTTTTTTAGGCGCCTTTTTGGTGGGTCCGATTTTATGATTTACGTCGAGTAGTCGGTCCTCGAGTTCCTTTTTTTTCTCTGCGATTTGTTCCTCTTTTGATTTGCCCGGTAACTTTTTGTCTGTAATGGAACCAAGGTTACCATTTACTAAAAATGGTTGAAAAGGAGTGTTGTTGTGTAAGCAAAAACTAAGTGTTAAAAAAATAAATAATAAAATACAGCAGCACCAACACAATAATTCTTATCAACTCTAAATATAGCCCGAATTCTACTGTTTCTAAATTGGGTAGGAGGGAAGAAGGATTCTAAAGACACAAGGGGGGGATTGTGGTATTTAAATAAAGGTAACCCAAACCTTGGGAAATGAAAGACCCCACATAAACCTTATGGATAACGGCTTTCTGTCAAATTGGCTGAATTTTTAAAATTGAGTAGATTTCAATATACAGTGTGTCTGTAAAGGATAAATTCATTATTTTGAAAAAGGTAGAATTTTTGAAAAATCGCTCAGACACGTCAATTTTGTTTTTTTGTTTGAAATTTTTTGATATATTTTTCATTATACAGGGTGTCTCAAAAATAGCTCCGCTGCTGTCAACTTTGTTTTTTCAAATGGATCACCCTGTATATTATGACATTTATAGATTCTGCGGAAAATTTTTGACATATTTCATATACAATGTCATATACCTATCTCTAACTGTTTTGGAAATATTGACAGTTGTAAAACTTGAACGGTTAATTTTAGAGGAAAACCGATTTCATTCCTATCTTAGATTTTCATAAACTATCATTTGACCATATGGGTATCCCGTACCGAAGCACTGATTCAACTAAAGTCTTGTATACAGTTATCAACATTTTTTTTGTCAGTATAGACCTCAATACATAAAACTTATAGATCATTTTCCTAATCTTATTTGAAAGGCTCAGCACATGCTGGTCCCATTTCAAATACTTATCAACAATCATTCCCAAATACTTAGTCTGAGCTACTTCACAAATACACTCCTCCAAATTATCAACCTTAATACAATTAAACTCCGGCCTATTAACAGCAGTAATCGAGAAAGCTACATAATTGGTTTTTCGAACGTTTAGAGAGAGCTTACATGTGTCAAGCCAATTTTTAATTTTTGATATTCCGATGTTTACATAATGTTTAACTTTAGGCCAAGAGTTACCGAAAAATATCACCGATGTGTCGTCGGCATATGAGATAATAGTACCGTTTTCAATATTCATGTCCGTTAAAGAGTTAATCTACGTCGGTGTCATTATGACACATTTAGCATTGTCATTTGAATGTCATTAGGTCCTTCATAATAGCACTAGTGCGTTTAAGAATTCATAATAACACCCAAATTTTGAAATGAAAAATATACAAAAAGAAAGTTAGTTGCCAGAAGAACCTTTTCAATAATGCTGCCTCTATATTCGAAGAGACACTTTCGAACTCAGAATCACCAATAATAATATTATTTTCCACTATAAAATTGAATTTATGGCACAAAAATGGACTCCAATATTGAAGCTGCCAAAGTCAAAATTCTAAAAACCAACAAGCAGGTTCTCGACTAGTACGGGCACCTGCTAAATTTCAAATTTTAATTTGAAAAGTTTTTGCTATTTCAAGGCAAATCAAATCTATTTGGACCATTGTAGATTAAATTTTGAATGATACACGTTCGATATGAACTTTATTAATGAAACTTGTGTAACTAAACCACTCGGCTAACGCCTCGTGGTTTAACGTTACACGCGTTTCATTATGGCGTTCATATCGAACTTGTATCATTAATAACTATAATATAAGTTAAAAACAAAATTGGACCAAGAACCGTACCTTGCGGGACCCCCATTCTTATTTTTTGTGGTTCACTTAGTGTTTCCCCAATTTTTAAAATCTGAGTTCTATCTCTAAGGTAGTCTTCAAAGATGTTCAACACTGTACCCCTAACGCCATAGGCATTTAGTGCCTCTAGAAGATCGGCTTGGGGTACAGTGTCGAATGCCTTCGCTAGGTCAAGGAAAACAGCCAGGCATTTATTGCCGTGATCAAGGTGTTCTGTTATGTCTTTAGTAAGTTTAAAAATAGCGTCTGTGGTGCTCAAGCCATTTGTGAATCCAAATTGATTCTTTGACAGTATATTGTTTTTTTTTAGAAAGTCTACTAACCTATTTTTCAAACATTTTTCAAACAGTTTTGAAAAGTTACTTATAACACTAATAGGTCTGAAGTTATTAATATCAGTCTTGTCGCCTCCCTTGTGTATCGGAGTAACCACTGAGATTTTAAATTGATTAGGCACCTTACCCGTTCTAAAAATCAAATTTATTATGTGAACTATCGGCTTAAGCAAATGAACATGTGATAGTTTTATTAATTTAGCAAAGACACCATCAATTCCAGGTGCGCTATTATTTTTCAGGGAGTTTATCTGTTCAATTATCTCGAATTCATTCACTGGTCGCAGGAACATGGAGGAGCAAGACTCAAAATTCAGCCTGTAGGAATCTGAGGGCGTTTTAATTTTTTCATACATTCTTTCACCCACATTCACAAAAAAATTGTTGCAGTAGTTTGCCATGGCTTTGTTATCAGAAAACTGAACATCATTGATTTTTATTTGAAGATCATTTTTTTTATTTTTTATTTCATTTGAAGCCTCAGAGATCAATGTGTACATTTTTCTGATATCCCCACTGCAATTTCCAATTTCCCTTCTATAATAGTCATTTTAACATTTATTAATAATCCCCTGCAACTTATTTCGATATGCTTTAAATACAATCTGATCATGAGTATTATTATTATTATGAGCTGTTCAAGCAAATTTATGTTAATATCACCAAGAAAAATCTCAGTATCAGATCCATTGAAAGTCATTGAGAAATGGCTTTCCAAATCGGTGAGAAACAATTGAACATTCGTAGCTGGAGGCCTGTATACGCATGTGACTCCATAACTCAAGTTATCTTTCTCGAAAGTAAACCTACTTAAGGTCACTCCCGAGCTTTCAAACTTACCATTCTGGAAACACACATTCAAGCATTGCTTGACAAAGACTATTACGCCATCGTTTTGGTTGTAGCTTGCATTATTATAATATGTATTATATCCCTCAATATTGAATAATTTATCGTTAATCTGCCAACATTCACTTAGTACTATTATGACAAAAAAAATTAGTCCATAACTCTCCATAAACACTAGCAAGTCATTGAAATTCTTCCGGATTCTACGTATGTTGAAATGTATAATATTTAAGGTCTTTCCATTCAAGTTTACCCTGGCAACCACCTCATCACAATCAATACTATCCTGAGTAACTGATGCATCATCCCGATTTTGTAATTCTTCAAGGATATTAATTTCATGTTGTCTAGCCATTACAGCAACCACTATATAGTAGGATAAACGTAGCTCCATAACATTGATGAGGGTGCAACAAATTAGCAACAAGCTGATTTCAGCGGAAATGTTTAGTAACCGACCTCCTATTTAACCTCCCAAAAGTCCCATTCAGTCCTAGGGGTGGAAGGTTGAAAAAAATGGCCGCCATCTTGGATTTTTTTGTTTTTTTCAAATATTTCAGTTTCTATTAGTTTTTTCAAGAAAACTTAACAAACCTTTTTTGTGGAGGATTTAATTCTCTGTAAAAAGTGTCTGTACATTTTTTTTGGACCATGACGGATAACGGAGATATGGTTTTTTTTAGAATTTGATTTATAAATTTTTCACTTTTGTTGAAGATCCAAAAAAGTGATCCACCAAAGTAAGTAGTATATTCGCTCTGTATAAATTGCAAGTTTTTATGGGTCTCTATTGGTCATATTGATCGTGTGTGGAGTCATTTTGTTTGTGAAATAGTGATTTTTTCAACCTTGTAAAACTTGTTCTGAACTTCATTCTTGGTAAGCCAAGAAATCCAGTTTAATTATTGGGACTCAAATAGGAATAGAAAAAAAAGACAATTTGTATTACTTATCAGCAGCACAAAAATTTGCAATCTCATTGGTCGGCCAGTTATTCGCCAACGAATAGAATAATAGAACGATATAAAAACCCAATCTGTAATCTCATTGGTTGGCCAGTTATCCGCTAACCAATAGAATAATAGAACAATAAATTTATCTTGCAGATAGTTACCAGCAAGTTTATCTGAAGATGAATGAACCGGGCCTAAGCCAAATAAACATTCTGTATTAAATTTTATTCCTACCATAATCAATCCTGATATGGATCTACCTGTGATAAGGCCTGCTTCCAAAAGGAGGACTAAAATTAGCTTTTTGGCTAACCATGTGACATTTGTCGCAAGATTCTATGCAGAAATTGCTCTGGAGTAAGGATCTCTGAGATCCGAGTTCTGATAATGAAAGAACGCTGCCTAAGATATTTTTGTTGTCCAAGCTGTATGGACTGTTTCCAAGCACTACCGGGGTTTAGCTCAAGACTTCACGAATTCGAAGCAAAGATGGAAAAGCTCAAAACCAAAAAAAGAGTTGTGCTATCCAATGGGCTGGAAGACACCTGCAAAGCCATTCTGGATTCTAATAAAAAACTTGTTGTATTCATGTCCAAGTCCTATACATGCCTGGCAACTAAACATCTTGCATATCAATTTTAATGCGATAGAATGGAATGTCTAAAGAAAGTCTAAGGTTGAATAGAGAACGAAAACGATTTCCTCTGTTCCACCTCTAGTATTCCCAGCGCTTTTTGCTGGAGGTGGAACAGGGGAAATCTTTTCTAAACATTTCGAAAGGGATAAAAGTAAAGAAATGTTTGAAATATTTACTATAAAAAGCTCTGTATCTCCGTTATCCTTTAAGTTACAAAAAAACGGTATGAACACTTTTTATAGAGAATTAAATTTTCCACAAAAAAGGCTTTTCGAGTTTTCTAAAAAAACTGATAGAAACTGAGATATTTGAAAAAAACAACAAAATCCAAGATGGTGGCCATTTTTTTCAACCTTCCACCCCTAGGACTGAATGGGACTTTTGGGAGGTTAAATAAGAGGTCACTTACTAAACATTCCCGCTGGAATCAGCTTATTGCTAATTTGTTGCACCCTGACCCCCCAGATTGACTCAGCTAATAATCTATTTTGCTTCTTAGAATCTTTTGGAGGTATTGATAAGATGGACAGTTCACATCACTTGACAAATGATCAACATCATAATCTAGTTTATACCTAGTATTTGAGTTGACACAGTTATTGCATTTTTTTGAGCTCTTTGGGCAATGGAAATTATTGATAATTTTTGGGAAATTTGCCCGAATGCATTTTTAGTTGAAAAAGAGCACGAGTGCACGAGTGCTTTTTTCAGTTAAAAACGCATGAGTGCAAATTTGTCGAAAATTATAAATAAATTTCCATTGCACGAGTTGTATTTAATGAGAGAATTTCATAAATCAAAAATTTAAATTTTTTTTCAAAAAATGTCAAAACACCAGTTTTCGCACCAGTTAGCACCACTAGTGCAAATTATCGCGTAATTACAATCTGATTGGTTCAAATCAACAATCAAAACATGTCAGTTCATTGTTGGAATACCAGTTTTGACAGATGTATGAAATTCTCACTGAAATTTATCTCAATAAAGGGATTACAACCTCTGAAAATCAATTTTTCAATTTTTCTGAGTGCCTTTTTTCATAGATTTTGGTGTCAAATGCGTTTCCAATACCATCTTTTTAGCCCATCTACTCAAAAACTGTACATGAAATTATTTTTGTGCAATGATAACAGAATATTGAAATCTACCCAATTTCAAAAAGTCAACCAATTTGACAGAAAGCTATTTTCCATAAGGTTTGTACGGGGTCCTTTAGTACCATGCAAATCAAAGTAAGTACCAAAAAAATATTTGAATAAACTCAAACAGAGCCAATAAAGAAGCCAAAAACCTGCCACCACAGCTACCATGCTTAGAAAACGGTGTAGTTCCAATTACATACGCCTGTTGTAGCACAACAAAAAATCTTTAGAAATTCTCTCAAGCTCAAAAGACAACGCACACAAACATAAAGCAAACGTACACAAATATTGTTGTGCTACCGAAGAGTTTTTGTTGTTGTGATTCTTTAAGACAGACGTTTGAGTAAAGGAACTTACAGTAGGGCTTACGTGGCTTTTTTCTGAGACACGACGCGACGTAACTTTCCAGTTCTCTCAACGTTGACGGTTTCAACGTTTCGAAGTCTATCTCGATCTCGTCCGGATTCGAGTCCCTCAACGACGGCTCCCTGGACTGGATTATGTGCACGACTCGACCTAGTTTGTCGCCTAAACACAATACAAAAGTTAAATTTGTTCCAGCTAAACAATAAACCATCTTACCTGGTAGTTTGTTGATGTCCAGCGACAGTTGACGTTTCTCGTCGTAGGACATCGGCTTGGCGCTGTCCTCGTCCTCTGAATCGAACGCCGGTACCACGGACACTGGCTGCGCTTTTTTGCGACCCGGACCCGCCCCGCCCGCTCCCGCTCCTCTGCCCGCTTTCGCGCGTTTGCCCGCCGGCCCGCCCGCGTTCACTCCTGGCGCCCCTGCTCCCGGTTTCGGACCTCGGGGACCTAAAAAATAATTTTATAACTTTCAGTACTCAGCTAGTGTAACCTGGTACTTCTAATTTTCTACAAAGCAACTTAAAGCTACTATCAATATTCTGGTAATTAGATTGTATTACCAAAATAGTTAAAGTAAGGTCAAACAGAAGCTGTGCTTGCGACTGGATTCAAAAGAAAAAGCTGTGCTACAAATTAAATTGATCCAAGTGTGTCTACAAACAAACAAATAACTACAATGTAAAAGTAATGGTGAAAAAAGTTACTGGCAAGAGATAGAGAAGATCTAGTCACATGCACTATATAGACAAGATTGTTGAATAATCTTTGCAACTACTACTATTAAATTGAAATAACCAAACCATTAATTAAAAAATAAAAAAATACATGCATATTTGGTCAACAATCCTGCCCCAAAATGTAAGAGAGATTTCAAGTTATAAACTTTATTATTTAACAATTCTAGATGTCATGCATATAATGTCAACTTAAAATCTCTTCTGTACTATTAAAAGTTCCTTCTGTCATCGACCTTACCTTTCGTTTTGGGCGTTTTTGCGGCGGCCGCGCCCCCCGTTTGCGGGCCGCCTCGTTCGCCCCCCGCTTTCGCTTCGGAAATACCATCTTCCGCCCCAACGCTGTCTGGCACGGTCGGTAATTGTTTACCGCCGCCGCCAACACCGCCAGGACCGACGTTTGTCGACGATTTACCTCCTGCGTCATCAAACATTATGTATTTTCAAGAAGCAAAAACCAAATGCAACTCAATAGAAATTGAGTTGTGTTTTTATTGTAAAAAATAAAACACTCACCAGTACTGTTGGGAAGGGCCAGCGCTTGTACTGAATTCTTTTTCGGTTTGTCTTTCATTTTTTGTTTTTTCTTTTCTTTTTTACGTTTCGTACTTTCTTCCACCAATTTTCGCATTCTCTCTTGCATTGCTGTTAGCTGGAAAATGAAAAATCAAATTAAAAACACTAAAAAAAAAACATTATGTATGTTCCACAATGCAAGTTTGGGGCAAATCAGTGTTAAAAAGCTCTTATATTTGATTTAAAAAATCACAAATAAATATCAGAAACGAATATTCATCATTTTGAAATAATAATTATAAACTGTGAATAAAATTTTATAAAGTTGCTTACTTCTTTTTCAAGTTGTTTCAATTGCTTGTTTCGTCGTTCCTCTTCAGAATCTTCCGTTTCGCTCGAACTTTCTGAACTTGAACCGGACGAACTCGACTCATTAGGAACCATACCACTTATCCTATTTAAGGGTTCGTCAGGGATTTTTGCAAATCTGGAAATGTCGAGCATTCTGTATATTTAAAAAAAAAGACAAAGGATTTTAGTTTATTTTTCCAAAAATGTGTTACAAAATTTTGATTTAAGATGTAGTAGATTTCCCATTTTGTAATAGATCCCTATTTCATGTGTTGTTAGTATTGAGGTTGTCAAAAACACCATAGCGGGGAACTTGGGAGTTATTAAAGGGTTGCTGACAACCATTGAGGTAGCTGACAACAATGTAGTCGGTTGCAGCATCAGATTTGCTGGAAAATGGTTGTCAGGGTAGAATTTATTATTATTATCATGTTCTCAAGGTTTTGAATTATATGAAAAATGTGATATATTCTATTTACGTGTAAATACCAAGTACGACAGTAAGGAATGTACAGTAAAGATTTACTTCGTGTCAGGTAACTTTGAGTGTGCAGATAAATTTAGTTTATGAATTTTATCTCAATAAAGGGACTACAATCCCTGAAAATTTCAGCTCATTTGCACTAATAGTTTCTGAATTTTATCCCTTTCAAAGTACTAAAATCCCTGGAAATTTCAGCTCATTTGCACTTATAGTTTCTGAAATAAAATCGTATTAAGCAATTTCGGGTGATTTTTCAATTTTTCTAAGTGCCTTTTTTCATAAATTTCGGCTTCAAATCTGAGAATAATTTAGTGTATGGAGTTTGGGGGATGTTAATTGACCATTAGGATACAAAATCTCGACAAAAGAAAATTTGAAATTTCATCGTTTTAGTAACAAGGTAGCTACCTTATGATTTAGATTTAAGAAAACTTTGAAAGGTCAGAACTTTTTTTCTATTAAAGATAGAAAGCTGAAATTTTCACTGAATTTTATCTCAATAAAGGGACTACAATCCCTGAAAATTTCAGCTCATTTGCACTTATAGTTTCTGAATTTTATCCCTTTCAAAGTACTAAAATCCCTGAGAATTTCAGCTCATTTGCACTTATAGTTCCTGAGATAAAATCGCGTTAAGCAATTTGAATCCAAGACATTTGTGGCTTTTTATGTAGTAGTTAAGGACATTAAAAGCAAAACAGACATCAAAGTCTTCCCTTCTGCGAACAAGAGTAGTTAGGTCTAAGTAAGTCAATGAGGTCAACTCTGAGAATCACACCACTCAGAGACAGTTTGTATCGAGCAAACTTGATAAATAAATTTGTGTTGAGCACTCTCAAGTCTATTGATGTGAATCTGATAGTAAGGTGACCAAACTATGCAAGAAAATTCAAGAAAGGATCTGACCAGTGATGTGTTAAAAATTTTGATGGGGCATATTCTTGTTAAGTCCCTAGTGGCTCTCTTAATAAAACCCAAGATTCTATTAGCCCTGCCAATTACCACTTCAAAATGCTTGGTGAATATTAATCTAGTATCTAGACACCAGGATTTTTGATGACAGAAACTTCAGACAAGCGAACATCACCTACTTTAAGCAATACTGAAAGGGAACCCCAAGGGTGAGTTTACTGAATCTTAGACAACACTTATCAATGTTGAGAAACATAAAATTTCAAGTCATCAGCGAAGAGTAAAAAATTTGAGCCGAACGACGATTCTAAATCATTGATAAATAGGGTGAATAGAAGGGGGCCCAAGTGAGAGCCTGGCGGTACCCCAAAGGATGCATGGAAAATAGAAGAAAGATAGCCATTGATCTTGGACTTCTTGCATTCTGTTAGTGAGGTAAGATTTCATCCATGAAAGTAAGAGTCCAGAAATGTTATAACTTGAGAGCTTTGAAACAAGGATGTTATGGTTTACCTTATCAGTACTAAAGTCAGTACATATTGCATGAATTTCTGCATTGTTATCAAATGATGAATTTATAAAATTTGTAAAGAGAAACAGGTTCGTGTCAACATATCCATTGGCTGTAAGCCCATGCGGTTGACTCATTACAATCTGATGAAATATTTTTGAAAGAATATTTTTAACGCACTGCTAAAATAATTTAGGAATTGCAGACAGGATACTCATAGCTCTGTAGTTTGTTACATCATTATTGCTGCCTGACTTCTGAATAGGACAAACATAGGAGAGCTTCCACATTTCTGGAAAAATTCCAGAGGTTAAGGATTCGTTAAAAATAATAAATAGAGGGGGATACAAAGTATTAGAACAAGACTTCCTAGAAATACCATCAGGTCTTGCAGACTTGTTGATGTCCACTTGCTTAATTCGCCAATCAAAGGAAAGTTGGAGGAGTGTCAAGTTCCCAATGAGAATCAATATAGAATCTACTGCAACAACAGATGCGAACAATGTGGAAATAAAAATTTAGTACATACAGCAGAAGAAAATACTTGGTTACAGTGATAACCCTATGTCCAATCTGATGTGACATTAATAAAAATTACAATTATAAAAAATTCTTACTTGACTTCAAATACGTCCTGTAATTTGCGCGCCATCGCAACCACATCATGATCCGAAGGATTGTACTTGTAACAATTGGTGAAAATCAGCCGGACGTCTTCGGCAAACTCTTGCGCCGACCGGTACTCGCGACTGTCCATTTTCCGTTTCACCGTGCCCAAATCCATGGGTTTCTTGATAATGTCGTGGTAGTCGTGCAAGCCCAACAAGTCCGCGTCCACCGGTTTGTAAAAGGGCCACGCATAACTGCAGTGTTTTTTCGAAAATAGTTCTTTTAGTATCTCGTTGCAGGCTTTTAAAGTGTCGTTCAGTTTTTCTTTGGACTTTAGGGCGAGCGCCGCTTGGCTACCTGGTGAGGGTATACCTGCCGGTCCACCACTATATGGACCTAATCCATCTAATTCCTATCAAACAAAAAAAAAAAAATCTATATAAGAAAGTTATAATAATATACCCGAAGCAATTATTATTTTGAAAAAAATTAGTCAGTGTTAAAAAGCTCTTTAAAGTAAACATCACTTCAGTCAGAGTCTTCAGTAATCATCATAAATATATTCCAAACAACCTTAAAAATGTCTTATACGTACTTGACTACGAAGAGGCTTCTTAATTTGTCGTCCCGATTCCCGCCTCTTAGAGATCTTACTAGCGGACGAGGATGAATTTGAATCGGCACCTGAAGGTAAATAATCATAAGCTGTCGCAGGTGTGGTAGTATCGGCCTTTCTTTTAACGCCCTTTTTACTTTTGGCAGGTTGCGCAGGAGGTACGACACCCAGCGCCGTTACGGGCGTCGGGTCAAGAGGTGGAGGGGCGTAGGTTGGAGCTGGAATTATGGGTGTCGCTTGGGAGTTAACATTGATAGGGGGCGCTATCGTCGTTGTGGCGGTACTGCCTGGAACTGTAGCAGGGGCGGCAGTGCCGAGAGGTAAACCCATAGAGCCTGTAGTTGTAGCAAATGGATTTGATACTGTTGATGATACAGTCACTGGAGGTCTACCTCTTGAAGGTGTTCCAATAATGGTAGCGGTTGGGGTGGTAGCACCTACTGAACTGGCCCGGCCTTTTTTACCTTTTGCACTTTTCATTTGGGACTCTACAATTATTTCTTCTTTTGGCATGTCTGCCACTTTGGTCAGGAATACCTATACAAATAATAAATTGAAAGTTTTGATTTTGGATAAAGAGACAATTTAAAGCACCTTTTCTAGAGTTTGTGCCATTACTACTACATCTTCACCGGGTTTATTATACACATAACAATTTGTAAACATTGTATTGAAGTCTTGAATACATTCTTTTCCTGACCAATAGTAAATATTATCCAGGCGTTTTTTTATCGTTCCTAGGTCCATGGGTTGTTTAATTATTTTATGGTAGTCCTACAAGAAAAATTGACATTTTTTTTGTAGTCAAATTATAGGTATCACACTCACTGGTAAATTTAATTTTTTAGCATCTACAGGTTGTTGAAAGGGCCAAGCAAATTGATGCTTCCAAACAGCTTTCAGTACTGTTTTTTGCAAGAACTGCAACTGATTTGTTACCCTACCAGGCCTAAAATTACCCAACAATTATTATACATATACGATATTATGTGTATAATTTGTTACCTATCTGCTTGTGGTATGACGTTAGGTTGAACCACCCCATCGACAGGTTCAACTGGCGGTTCGTTTCTGGGCGGAGGTTCGCGATTGTCCCGGGCGATAGCATTGGATGGGGTGGCGGACTGGGCGGGCACCGCGGCCGCCCCGTTGCCTGCCGAGGCTTGCTCGTTCATTTTACCAGTATTATTATTCTGAGCTGCAGCCTCAACTTGTTGCATCGCCTCACCTTGACTATATGAGAATTTGTATCAAGTTAAAAACTGACAATCGAAATAAATTTTAATGGATAAAGACGACCTCATTTATACTTGATTTAATTTTCTTACCAGTAAAGGTTTTGTTAAAGCACCTGGGCCTATCAAGAGCTGGTCCAGCAATTTAGAGGGTAAAACAGGAATCTCATGGTTGGGATGGTGCTGGACTAGACAAAAAAGGTCATGGTATCTTGTCTCTGTAAAAAAAAAAAGTTCCATTGTTATTCTGTTCAGATTTTCAATAATAACCTCTTAACATCATTGGTTTTTAATAGAAGAGAAATAGTCAAAACTGGTGCTTAACACTAATTTCATCTCTTTATGATAGTTTTTGGATGGAATTTTATTTATAGCTTGAGCGCACAAGGATTTTGATTTGGGAAACTGCTACAATTATAACTTAGGTATTATTATTCTTTTTTCATTTTACCATGAGACATCTAGGTTCACATACATCAAATAAGAAAAGTTGCAGCCAGTAGCCATAATATTTTCCTATGGGAATTAAGTGCCAATTGAAACAAGTTCATTTATCAATTAATAGACATATAATTCAACATACTTTTTTAAAATTGTTCTTTTAAATAGGTCTAAGAAGCGTTTTTAAAGTTAAAAGAGGATGTTGATTTTGAGGCTTTATGGAAGAACAAGGAACATCTGCTGAAATAGAAAACTACTGCCAGTTCACAGTTGCCAAAAAATTTTTCTAGAAAAACTAAGCGGGTTTACCCCTATTTATTTTATTTTATTGCGTGTGGAGGGCCAAATATGAACAATTTGCGTCAATACTATGGTATTTCAATTATGTGCTGTCATATTAGGTCTTTTCTCACAGAAGTGTATGGAGTCTTTCAGCGATTCTTATCCCAGTGAAAGACTACAAATCCCTGAAAATTTCAGCTCATTTGGACTTATAGCTCCAGAAATAAAATCGCATTACGCAATATGGGGTAAATTTATCAATTTTTCAATTCTCTGAGTGCCTCTACCTAGCTAACCTAGCTTATGATTTGGATTTTTGAAAACTTTGAAGACCCATAACTTTTTTTTATTATAGATAGGACTTAAATACATTGCATAAACGTACCTATGTAATTATGTTTTAGAAAATGAGTCAATAAAAGATGGTCTTATGGTTGGAATTTTGGACAAAAATCTTTCAGAATACTTGAAGCCTTTTTGACAGTTGAACCAACTTTAACAAAAATCAATGAGACTAAAGAATGTTGAATAAAGGGATAGATAGTTGAATATATCTAAATTTAAGGTAATGCAATTCTACAGAAAAAGAAACATTATATTTAATAACTATATCTAAGATAGATGATGACATTTTGGATAAGGCTATTATGATGAAAGATCTTGGGGTATTCTTCAATAGGGATTTGTATTCAAATAACCATATTAACTATACAGGGTGTGAATTTGAAAACTTCCCACCCCTATTATTTCGGAGTAGAAAAATTTCCGAAAAAATCCCTGAAATACGTCAACTATAATTTGAAGGGGGATAAGTTTTTATGCAAAATTCACCTCCCCTCTTTCAACCCACCAACCCCCAGAGCCACCCCCTAGAAAATCTTAAATGGGAAGAGGGGTCAAGTGATACATCATTTTGCAGGGTTTTTAATTCCATACATTTTGGTATAAAATTTTAATCCCTAAGTTCAACTGTTTCGGAAACATTGATAGTTGGAAATTGACTTTTTTGCAACTTTGACAGTCTGTGAAACCTAAACGGTTAATTTAAGAGGGAAATTAATCTTACATTCTTATCTTAGATTTTCATAAACTATCATTTGACACCAACTTTGAATTTAACCAGAGATTAAATTCTTAACTAGAATTTTTGATCATGGTCTGAATAAATTATGGAGTGTCGTCTGCATTGACAAGATTTTGTATAGAGGCTAACAAAATAAATAAAGAGTGCGTGATATGTATGAAATTAAGAGAAAAATTTAGACTGCTATATTGTAACAAATTTTATTTTATTGTATTTACTGTTGTTATTGTTAAAATGGCTGGTCCGTAAATATACTATTTATTTATTTATAAATGATAGGGAGAAGTACACATTTGAGAAAAACTTGCTCCAAATTGTAAAAGGTTGCAATAATTTAAAATATTAAAAACATATACATATGTACTTGTAAAATAATAGGTATTCATTGAATTTCAAGGTAGGTATTTAGTTAATAACCTAGGAATCGCTAGGAATTTCCTAGGACTTAGTGGGAATAACATAGGAATCCAATCGCTGGGAATATTATCTCATTCATTCTAACCCAGAAATATACATAAGATACAGCCATGTATACAGCATACCAATCAGTTGTGTATTTGCCTTCAAGACTAAGTTTTAGGAAATATTAGCTCTGTTCCAATCATTGAGTTCCAATCGACATGAGAACAGTTCTAGAACGGTAACTTCCAGTCGATCAATTCATTTGTCAAGTAGGATAAACGTTCAACTTATTGAAAAATAGGTGGGCAACTGGAAATTACTCGTTCTGGAAAGGTTCAAACAAAGCTAGTGCTGGACAATTTGAAATGAATTTGATAACCCACCGAGTTTCCCAATAACTGAACCAATAACTAAACTCGAGACTATGAAGGGTTTAGAACTTGAAGAAGAAAAACGAGATGAAGATTAGGTCTGTTCTCACAGAATTCACCAACCAATCAGAGCGTTTTTAATTGGTGCAAATGGTCAAACACCAGTTTTCTGACTATTTTCAACCAATGAAATTCGCTCTGACTGGTTTGTGATTTCCGTGAGAACAGACCTATAAGAACTTGAAAAGGGAAAGTAGAATAAATACTAGGCAGGGTGAGAAGCTGAGACGATAGGTCTGTTTCTGCAGAAATCATAAACCAGTCAGAGTGAATTTCAATTGGTTGAAACGAGTTTTCTGACTGTTTTCAACCAATGAAATTCGCTGTGACTCGTTTGTGATTTCTGCAGAAACAGACATATTAGCACATCTGAATCAGAAATAAGTTTGTTAAGTGAAACTATAGGCCAATTCGGGTTTGGAAAAAGGCCGGTTCTAGAACGGTTCAAAACAATCGTCCAGTTTATTGATCAACAAAATAACAACGACTCGACTATCACAAATTTCAATAATAAACTGTGCGATTCTTCTGTACTTTTTCCAAACCCGAATAGGCCTTATAACTGAAGATGTCTCTGATTCAGATGAACATCCTAATGAAATCAAAAAAAAAAATACATTATTTAAGATCCATATTATGCAGTGTAGACATGCAATGGTATCTAGAGCTCAACAACTATTATACCTACAACAAAATTGGTGTGGGTGTGGATAAAATTGGTGTGGGCGAATACAACCATGAAAATAAAAGTTGCTAACTTTTGGAAGAGTTGCAAATACAGAAATTGCGAATTTTTTTGTGGAAACGTGTTTTTATAAGAGAAAAGACTTTGGTCATATCAATGCGAAGTTTAACCATTAGACATTGTTTTTGTAATAAAATCAGCTGGAGATCGGATGATTGTGGGAAATCATTGCGGAAATCACGTAATCAATTGGGAATGATATAGGAATCCCCAGAAAAACTGGAAATCACCTGGTAATCATACAAAAATCATTGGCAATCAGTCGCAATTCTTGGGATGGGAATACATGAGATTTATTGATCAGTGATTGCCAAATATAGAAAAATCATTGTACATTTGTAAGCATAGTGGCTTGACCCCTTGGTTTTCAAGTACTTAAGTCAGTTTTGAGCATACAGCATACACACTGCGTCAAGAAGTGTAGCAGTGCGAAGCTATATTCTTTTAACTAGAACACATACAGGGCTTTCATTTCAAAAGTTGCCACCTACATTATTAGTGTGAATAGACATATTTCTAGAAATCGCCGAAACACATCAACAAATTTATTGAGGGGGAATGGTTTTTTATGTATAACTTCAGTCCTTCAACCCCCTACGCCCTAGGGGCTACCACCCCAAAATTTTCAAATTATCAAGTTTATAAATGGCTGTTTAATATGTACATTTTTTCGTCTTATTTTGTAAATTTGACCTCACAGAATCAATGTTTAAAAATGCCTATTTGTCTTTAAATGCACCTGCTTGTTTACCTGTTGCTGTAATAACTTAAAGAAGCAGGTGTGTTCAAAGATAAATAGGCATATTTAAACATTGGAATGGGTGTTATTCTGCAACATTGAGCACAAATTCAAAAAATAGGACGTGTATGTACAGATTAAAAAGCCCTTTAAAATGATTTATCGTTCGATTCCTTGTCTCATTTGAAAATTTTGGGATGGTAGCCCTGGGGGTTAAGGGGTTGAAGGAAGGAAGACCAATTTTACATAAAAAAACCTTCCCCTCCAATAAATTTGTTGACGTGTTTCGGCGATTTCCTCAAACATGCTTGTTGATGCAGAAACATGGGTGGCAAGTTTTGAAACGAAAGCCCTGTATATGGTTATTTATTAGTCCCCTTCAACCAACATTTCTGTCAAATCGAAAAAAAGGAAGGGGGTGACATTTATTAGGTCTGTTTCTGCAGAAATCACAAACCAGTCAGAGTGAATTTCATTGGCTGAAATCAGTCAGAAACAGTCTGAAAACTAGTTTCAACCTCGGTTTCAACCAATGAAATTCACTCTGACTGGTTTGTGATTTCTGTAGAAACAGACCTATAATAATGTCTGCCCAGCGAGTCTGTGTCTACGGGGCAACAGTAAGGGGAATGCAGTTGTAAAAAAAAATGGCTGATTCATTCATAAAATACCCAGCTGCGTGCGGAACTTTTTGGAAGTGTTATCGTATTTCAACTCGTACACGAAAATTGGCAATGACCAAACCTCCGCCACTGGATATTTCAATATAAATCGATATTCCAAGATGGGAGGATGAAATGACGGACATTGACAACCGCATGGTTCTCTGTGGCAACGGCCATCCTGCCAAAAACTCCACCAATCAGGTTCATCCAGGCCAGATGCTTGCCAAATTGTCAAAAACTGATGTTATCTTTAGAAAATGTTTATTTTTTACAATGGACAAAATTGAAGAAATCAGTTATTAAAATAAGATTGATCTAAAAACCACGTTGAAATATTTAGTGTTTTATTGGTATCTATATTTTGTTAATAAAAAATGGATTTTCAAATGAACTATACCTCATGCCTAGCATTTTCGCTTTTTTATAATT